CTAATGTCCAACCTAAACCGCCCTTGCTGCAATTTAAGCCCATTACTACTTGTCCTGTCCTCAGAGGTTACGGAGAACCATTTTTCTCCTTCCTCCTTGTAACAACCTTTTATGTACTTGAAAACGGTTATCATGTCCCCTCTCTGTCGTCTCTTCTCCAGACTAAACAAACCCAATTTTTTCAATCTTCCCTCACAGATCATGTTTTCTAGACCTTTAATCATTTTTGTTGTTCTTCTCTGGACTTTCTCCAATTTGTCCACATCTTTCCTGACATGTGGCACCCAGAACTGGACACAATACTCCAGCTGAGGCCTAATCAGAGCGGAGCAGAGCGGAAGAATTACTTCTTGTCTCTTGCTTACAACACTCCCGTTAATACAACACGCTTGCGAATATCAGAGCCAATTGCAGCTGCGGGAAAATGTAGGGGGGCAGGATGCAATAACCCAGCTGAAAGTGGCCAGGTTAATTCCCTGACTACTGCAAAAGTCCCATGGGATGGAAGATAGTTACACACGGATGAGACTTTGCTTTGATTTCTCCTCCACAAGATGGCAGCCCGTAGTGCTAGGCTGGGGCACTGTGGGAGGAGTGTCACTAGCTGAATCACTCCTGCGGTGCCCTGCCTTTCCCACGGACTCTCACCTCAGGTACCAACAGCCCCAACCCAGTTTGGCCTATAGCTCTAATGGGAGCATGGCATGAAGTGCGACGCCTGCAGGCTCGGCCCCCGGGGAGGAGTCACACTGAGCATCTGGGCTTTGAACTGGTCCCTCTTGCAGCTCCAGCTAAACCCAGCAAAACTCTGCATAGTCAGGGGGACGGGGAGGAGAGCAGCCCTTCAGAGAGGAAGATGCCCAGAGCTTTGGCTCAGACCCCAGTGCTCCGGCCGGTCCATTGCTGGGAGCTGGATGGATGCAAATGGGCAGTCTGAGAGCCAACGAGCTGGGGGAGATGGCTGTTCGTGCCCTAGACCCTTAACCTGGCCTCTCCCTCCCCAGGCCCCGTGATGCCCAGTGGCCCCAACAGGTTGTGTCTGCCTGCAGAGCAGCAGGAGGGCCGCCCGCTGCACCCTACCTGTGATAAAGGTCCCGATGCCCTTCATGAACGCGTGGGACTGGCACAGAGCGTATTCCTGCAGCCCCTGGAACAGCAGCAAGGAAAGGGAGTTGGGGGCAGCAGACGAGACGGTGTGAAAAGGACAAACAAGGAAACCCTGGGCTCGAGTCTCCCCCCTCGCTGCGCCAGAACCTGCTTCTCCTTGGGCCCCGCATTGATCCGCCCACGGCGACCCCCAGGTCCCTCTCGCTGAGCGGCCCCGGCACCTGGCTTCCGCCCCAGCCACCTGCCCGGGGAGCTCACCTGTCCCTCCCGGCGTGCATCACCCGCCTGCTCGCACCTGCCAGCGGGCGGCTCGGGGACCCAGCAGTCTCCTGTCCGCTAACGTCCCTCAGTGCCTGCAGGGGCAAATCCTGCCCCCGCCCCGCTACTCACTGCAGGACACCTGCACCCGGCCGTGCCCAGGGCAACGACAGCTGCTCCCTGCCCTACCTCTCGGAGCCGGTCCTGCCCCCGGCCCCGCACCCCACAGCTGCCCCGGCCCCGGGCTCTGGGGACGGCCCGCTCGAGCCCGGGGCTGCTGCCGAGCGGAAGGTCCTGGCCCGGGCTGGGGGCAGCGCACAGCCCCGATCTGCTCCCCGCGAACCCCCGGCCACCAGCCCCCTCCGCCGCGGGACCGTGCGCCCTGCCCCGGCCCCTGGCCCGCCGGGCCCCCCCCATCCGAACCCCCAGGGCCGGGGCTGAGCCCCCCCGCCCGCCTGCCCAGCCCGGGCCCTGCCACCGACCGGGTGTTTCGCAGCCACGGTGTCGTCCACCCGCGACAGCCCCAGGTTCACCATGGCCGCAGAGAGCCCCTAGACCGCGCCCCCGGCTCCCGGCGCGCCCTGCCCGGCCTCCGCCCCGGCTGCCAGCCCGGCTCTTCCTGCTTCCTCCGGCAGCGAGGGAGCGCCCGGCCCGGCCCGGCGAGCAGCACCATCTGCAGGGCTGGCTGCCCTGGCCACGGCTCGGCCCCGGGGCCGTTCTCCTCTCGCCCACCGGCCCGCCCCGGGGTGCCCCTGGCTGAACCCCAGCGCGGTCCTGTGTGTGTGTGTGTGTGTCTACGCGTGGGTGCAGGCGTGCGCTTCTGTCGGCGTATGTGTGTCTCTCCACGGGGATGCATCATGCGTGTGCACTTGCATGGGTGTTCTGCGTGCGTGCCTATGTCTGCACGTGTGTGTGCACGCGTGTGCATACGGGGTCTGTGCATGCTCGTGTGTCCGCCTGTGTGGGGGGGTGCATGCATGCCGCTGTGCGCGGGTGGGCGGGTGTGCACGTGCTCCGGAGATCCCTGAGACTACAAAGCGGGATACACATAACTGTGCATAGGGGAGGGGTCCCACTGGAGTCCATGGGGCTAGCGGGCTGCTCATTGTTCAGCGTCTCCGTAAGCCCTTGCAACGACCTATGTTAGACTCGGCCTTTGTGGGAGACGTCGCCCTCTACTGGTGTGCGGGGGTGACCCTCTGTTGGCGGGGTACGTTTGGCACGCTCTGTGGGCGAATGTGGAGGTGTGAGGTGGGTGGGTGTGTTTTTGTGCAAGCGTGTTTTTGCGTGTGATGCCCCCTCTCTGTGAATGTGTCGGGTGTCTGCTGCCCGTGAGCGAGTGCATGGGTGCGGGAGGCGAAGCCCACCAGTACTTCGGGCTGTGGTCGCGGGAGGATTATGCATGTGGACCCCGCAGTCCAGAATGGGTGTGAACGCGCGAGGCACGCTCTGCCGGTGAATGGGTGGGGGCGCCCCCTGCTGCGCCCAGTGTTGTTTGTGGTGCTCTCCGCAGGCCGAATCTGTCTCTGGCCTCCTGGGCTGCTCCATAGGTGGCATCTTGCAGTGCGCCAGGTTCCCAGGGATGCTGCTGGTTTTAGTCCTGTTACCCGCATTCCACACGCACACCTGGCGCCTCCCCGGTTTCCCTTTTATTGCTGAAAATGATTTACTGCAGCTAGGACAGGAAGAGCCAGGCACATGCCAGGGCGCAAATCCCACAGCGTTTCCCGTCTCCTGCATAAAAGGTATCTTTTGTGTCCCTCCCTTGGGGTCCCGCTTGGGGGCTTTGTCAGGTGTGGGAGGGCATGGTCAGGGCCTCTGATTCTGTGACGGGGGTGCCTGTGGTGGATGACGTGGAGGGGGACCCTCGATGGGTGAGCGGCGTGTTTGGTGAATCTTTGCGTGACGCCCTCTCGTGCGTGTGCACGTGTGTGCTGGGGAAGGTGCTGTGCCCTCTGATGGGGAATGAGTTTGCAGGGCACCCTCTCTCGGGTTGTTTGTGCCCAGGGAACATCCCAGTCTCGACGGCAGCAGAGACGGTTTATTCCAAAGCTGTTTAGCTCTAGGGACAATCCCCAGCGAATCGTTTCCGGGGTCTGGATGTGAGTTCTGAGCCTGGCAAACCTCGGGTGTTTCACAAGATGAGAGCTGTGGCTGGTGGCCCTGTGTCAGCACCTTCCCGTGCACCACAGGCTGGACAGCAGAGACAAGGGGGCCTCTAGGGCCCCCCATTTCTCATCCCTTTTTGCCCCCACCTCCAGGCCCTGTCTGTAGTCTCCTGGCCCTCCTGTCATTGGCCAACGGGGGTCAGAGAGTAACACACCAAGTGTGTGTGTGTTAATCTCCAGCAAGCCACCCTCCGTGGCTGTACCCAGAGCCCCTCCCTGCCCAGGGGTGTGCCAAACATTCACTGTCTCCACTTTCCCTCCAATCTAAAGGTTGTGGGGTCCAGTCCTGCACCAGGGCTTGGGTTCCCTGCAGAGCAGCACCAGGGCAGGCAGCTGGCACAGGTGCCAGCCTTTAGATGAGATGTTGCTCCACTCTGCCAGTGGGTGTCTGGGGAGACAGTTGAGATCCCAGACACTGTCACGGTGGGCATCAAAGGCCAGGGTGTGTAAAGCCCCTGGGGACCCCTTGGGTAGGCAGAGCCATGAGGTCAGGTCAGTTCTGTATGAGAAATCCAGACTCGAGTGATGATTTCCTGCTCCCCAGGCCTCCGTCCGTGCTGAGTCAGGCCATGGAGATGGCACAGGGCATTACCCAGGACCACAGCTTGTCAGGGCGTGGCCCTGTCAGCACCCACCAGTACAAGCAGCTCCGGCCTCAGTTTCCCATCCAAAGGGCCACGGTTTCTGGAAGGCAAAAACGACTGAATCCACTCGTCTCCACCAGCTCAGCGCTTGGAACAGGGCTATGTCCCAGCCCGGGGGAAGAAGCTGGTCGAGGCAAGCACCGAGAGGCTCCTTCAGTGCAAGGAGGGCTTGGCCTGGTGGCAGTCGCTGGTCCCCAAAACGCCTGCTCCTGGCCATAGAGGAGGGGGCTCTGTAGCACCCCCTGGAGATGGGCCATGGAATTGCACTGGCACCCAGAGCAGGGTCAGGGCAGTGCTGCGGCAGGGAAGTCAGGGGAGTATGGACATGCCAGCTGGGCTGGAATCCAGCAACAGCCGCAATCCCAGGACATAGGAGCAGGAAAAGCCCACAGACAGTTCAGCCACCTAACACCTTCCACTGCACCCCCTCCCCAGCACAGGACTAATGGCTCCCGTTCCCCTCTCCCATCGGGGGGCCACCGGTTTGCTGTCCCACCTCTTCCCCCTGCCCCATTTACCTGCTTTTCATGGCTGCTTTCCGTTGCAAACTCTTGTCTCCCTGCTGAGGCTGTGGTGCCAGGAGGTGCAGCAGGCCCTGCCCGCATCCTCCTTCTGGGGCTGCTGGAGAGACACAGATGCTCAGTGCTTTTACTGCCATGGGGATTCTCCCTGAGATCTGGAACTCGCCCTCCGCCAAGCCAGCCTGCTCACGGAGTGCAGAGACCCTGGCAGCCATGGGCAGTGCCCAGCTTGAGGCAGGGCCGAGCTCTGATGCTCAGGGCCTCTGCCCTGGGACTGCAGGTGGCTACTGGGAGGCCCTGACCATTTCCTTCAGAACAGAGCCTCCCCCCACCCTGGGCCATAGCCCTGAGAACTGGGAGCTTTGGAGGGTCTGCAGTGAGGGAGGATGGGGGCGTCAAAGGAGCAGAAAAGGGAAGGCAGTGCAGCCTAGCGGTTAGCAGGCTGGACAGGGGCTCAAGGGACCCAGGGTCTATTGCCAGCTCTGCCACTGACCTTCTGGGTGACCTTGGGCAAGTCGCTTCTCCTTTCTGTGCATTAGTTCCTCTTGCCACCCTTTGTCTCTTGAGGCTGTAAGCTTTTGGGGCAGGGACTGTGTCAGTCCAGTGCCCTGAGCTCAGCTGAGACCTCCAGGAGCTCTGGTAGTAACAACACAAAGGGAGGTGGTAAAGCCAGCCGGGATCACTTTGGAAATGCACAACCCCCCAGCAAGGAGAGGAGACAGGAGAGATTCCTTCTTGGCCCACACTGGGGCCTGACAGGGCCCTGGGCTCGGAGACTGCTGGTGCCAGGTGAGGAGTACGACACAGAGTGTTCCCGGGGCCTGAGTCCTAGCTGCACAGGGGAGCACGTCCCGAGAGTCACCACTTACCACGGCCTGGGTGAGCAGGTGGTCTCCGAGGAGCGTCCCCTGGGGTGTCTGGCCAGAGGGCCTCCTGCCCAACGCAGGGAGGAGGTTAGCTGGGAAGCTTCGGGGGCCTGCAGGGAATCTGGGCATCAGAGCCCTCCAGGTCCCCTCACGCTCCAACATGCTCAGCCCCCGGCACCTGCCATGCTGTGGGGCCCGCCGGCTGAGCCCTGCCAGCCAATCTGAAAGGCAGAGCAGTGGCAGGCAGGGGTGGCCTCTCCCCGAGGGCATGTCTTCCCTTGTGCATTCAGCATTAAACCCGGCTCCATGCCTGCAGCCATCCCGCTGCTGTGGGCAGAGAACTCTCGTGGGTGCCATTGCAGGGTGGAGGCTGACGTTTCCCTTGTGAGACACGCCCAGGGGCACAGCTGTCTTCTGAGGACTCCGGTGCTGCTCCTCGGCGGGCAGGAGCCGGCTACAGCCCCGGCCAGTCCTGCCCAGGGACGAGAGCGGACACAGCAAAGCCGCGGTCATTCTGTTAGCCGCTTTGGGGCAGAGCCACAACTGGTGTGAAGTGTCATAGCACCATTAGCTTGCAGGGGGGGGGCGGGGGGGCGGGGTGCAGGCAGAACTTTGCATCTCAGGGCACTAGTTCAAGGCCTTTGTGTTGTTTGATTTGCAGGCAATGCCTGGGCATTAGCAGGCCAGCGAGTGCACTGAGCTGCTCTGGAGGCCTCGGCTGGCTTGGTTTGCCCAGCACCCAGCCCCACCCGCCACTCCAAAGACAGCCCTTGGCATTGGAGCCAGCTCCAGAGCTGGGCCCACGTTGGGGGCAGCCGAGAGGCCCGTGCTGCCGTGGGTGTCCTGGGGGGAGCTCCTGCTGACTGAGCCAGGGGCTGGGAACAGCATGCTGCAGTCACATGCCGAGGGCTGCGTCAGCTCCAGGGTGTGCCGGGGGCACCGAGCTCCAGGGTGTACCGGGGGACTGGCTCCGGGGCAGGAGTGCAAAAGTTTATTGCATGCCTAAGGCTGAGCACAACCTCGCCCTCGGTTCCTAGCTGCCCCCCTGGCCCCCACCCCATCCCCCATGCTGTGTGGCTCTGGCTCCCATACAGGCCAGGGAGCTGCCCGGCGAAGGAGTGCAGGGGCAGAGGGAAGTCGCTCGGCATGGAGGGCACTCACCTTGTTTGTGGCTTTGGCCTCTGCAGCCCCCGGAGCTGTTGGCTCCCCAATGGAGCCCTGAGCTGCGGATGCTCCAAGCTCTCCAGGACAGGGGGGTGCCCGTAGCTCGGCCTCTGCTGGCCTGAGGCTGCCGGTCTGGGTTTCCTCCGCTCTAGGGAGCGACTGAGCTGAAGGGACATGGGCACAGCACGCAGACCGGGTGAGCCCTGCCAAGCCGGGTGCCCAAGAGGGAGGACTGTTGCCAGCTGTTTGAGAGACAAGAAGGAGACACCAGGAAGGCCCTGTGCGGGGCGTATTTGAAAGGGGTTTTACCTCCTGCAATTTCTCTGCCCTGGTGTGGTGCCCGGGGGGCTGCTGGGACTAGCTGGGGCAGGGCCTGGTGGCTCCCTGTGGACTGCAGAGAATTTTTTGCCGCCTGTGATTCCATATGAGCCCTCCCGCGCATGGCACAGATGTTGTCTGGCCGACCTCTCGCAGCAGGCTGGCCCGCGGTCCCTCCGGGCTGGGCTCGCTCAGTAACCAGTGTCAGTAGCTCCAGCAGCCTGGGAAGCGTGAGCCCATTTCCCAGGGGAGGGAGACACTGAACTCCAGCCCCTCCCTGCATGGCAAGGGGGCTGGGGGAGGAGTTATTTCTGTGCCACTCGCTGTCAGCTAATGTCAGTAGTGCTGCTGTGGCTTTTCCCTAGGTCACCTGCACAGACACTCACATTCAAATATGCACAGGGATGAACCCACACACGCACACCACTCGCCTGTATACACACATTGTACACACACACACACACGCACAGGGATGCACCCACACGCATGCACACCACTCGCCTGTATACACACATTGTACACACACACACACACACACGCACAGGGATGCACCCACACACACGCACACCACTCGCCTGTATACACACATTGTACACACACACACACACACACGCACAGGGATGCACCCACACATATGCACACCACTCGCCTGTATACACACATTGTACACACATGCACCCACCACCCACGGGGATGCACCCACACACATGCACAGCACTCGCCTGTATACACACATTGTACACACACACACACACACACGCACAGGGATGCACCCCCACACATGCACACCGCTCGCCTGTATACACACATTGTACACACACACACATATACGCACAGGGATGCACCCATACACACGCACACCACTCGCCTGTATACACACATTGTACACACCCACACCCACACACGCACAGGGATGCACCCACACACACGCACACCACTCGCCTGTATACACACATTGTACACACACACACCCACACACGCACAGGGATGCACCCACACACACGCACACCACTCGCCTGTATACACACATTGTACACACACGCACCCACACACACACAGGGATGCACCCACACACATGCACACCACTCGCCTGTACACACACATTGTATACACACGCACCCACACACGCACAGGGATGCACCCACACGCATGCACACCACTCGCCTGTATACACACATTGTACACACACCCACACACGCACAGGGATGCACCCACACACACGCACACCACTCGCCTGTACACACACATTGTATACACACGCACCCACACACACACAGGGATGCACCCACACGCATGCACAGCACTCGCCTGTATACACACATTGTACACACACGCACACACACACGCACAGGGATGCACCCACACGCATGCACACCACTCGCCTGTATACACACATTGTACACACACGCACCCACACACGCACAGGGATGCACCCACACGCATGCACACCACTCGCCTGTATACACACATTGTACACACACGCACCCACACACGCACAGGGATGCACCCACACACATGCACACCACTCGCCTGTACACACACATTGTATACACACGCACCCACACACGCACAGGGATGCACCCACACACATGCACACCACTCGCCTGTATACACACATTGTACACACACCCACACACGCACAGGGATGCACCCACACGCATGTACACCACTCGCCTGTACACACACATTGTATACACACGCACCCACACACGCACAGGGATGCACCCATACACACGCACACCACTCGCCTGTACACACACATTGTACACACACGCACCCACACACGCACAGGGATGCACCCACACACATGCACACCACTCGCCCGTACACACACATTGTACACACACGCACCCACACACGCACAGGGATGCACCCACACACATGCACACCACTCGCCCGTACACACACATTGTACACACACGCACCCACACACGCACAGGGATGCACCCACACACATGCACAGCACTCGCCTGTACACACACATTGTACACACACGCACCCACACACGCACAGGGATGCACCCATACACACGCACACCACTCGCCTGTACACACACATTGTACACACACCCACACACGCACAGGGATGCACCCACACACATGCACACCACTCGCCTGTACACACACATTGTACACACACACGCACAGGGATGCACATGTACTCGGTGTTACGCTGAGAGGTCCTGGTGACTACATTGATCTCTCAGAGACGGGGGGTGACGCACCGGTCAGGTAACTCAGGCTGAGCTGACCAGAAGCCCCCACCCAGGAGAAGAGGGGGATGCGCCCCTGCCCAGGAGTTTGGCTGAGTGAGGGGCGGGGGGGCTGGCTGTCTTTGTGTGAAGGAAGGCTGAACACCCAGAAACTGTGAAGAGGCAGAACAGAGAGCAGGGCAGAGGCAAAGAGGAGGGAGGCCAAGCAGCAGCTGGTAAGCACAGGGTGACCTGGAGAGAGAGAGCGAGAGCTTTAGGGTCTGGTGGCTAAAGAGGCTGCTAAGACACTGCTCCTTTTGTTCTGGGTTCCTCCTGTGTCTGGAGAAGCAGGGCCTTGTGCCTTCCTTGTCACCGTTCATCAGAGAAATACCCGCCTGGCACCAATTTCTGCTCCCCGGGAACAGGCCCAGGCCCCCACACGTTGACTAGCTGCTTGGGTTGAAAGAGGGGCAATGTTGCCCACCCCTGCATGCATGCCCGGAGAAGAGCACACATGCAAACACACACACGCACAGCAATGCGTGCAGACGCCCACTGGTGCACAGGGATACACACAGAGGGTTGCATGCACACACACATGGGGGGTGCCCCCTGCAGCTGGCCAGATATTGCTGGTACCTCTGGGAAGAGCGGTCTGCTCGGCGCCCCAGGTTCGGCTGAGCTGTTCTCCCCGCTGGGCTGAAGTGCAGTTTGCCTGGGGAGGCTCTTTGCATCCGGCGCCCGCTGCTTTGGGTGCCCAGCGTCCCTGGGAAGTGGGGCAGCCTGGTGAGAAGGGAGGCACAAAGGAGGGGTTGGCGTGTCGAGTGGGGGTTTTCTGTTCATCCTGTTTACACAACGGAGCTAGGAAAGGTCTCACTCCGCTCCCTGGCCCTGGGGGATTCAGCAGTGATCCCACAGCAGTCACTGGAGGCATCGGGAGAGAGCGGCGTCTCGCTCCAGGGGCTGAGCATGCACTGGTTTCCCTGGGACCCAAATCCTGCATGGCTGTGTGCTCGTGTCTCTCAGTGAGGCCGGGGTGAACTAGGCCTCTGGCAGCTGGCCAGCAGCCAGAACGGTCCCCCCATGACAAAAAGCCAAGCCGCCCCAGGACTCTCGTCTCTCTGCCCTGGCACCAGCAAGTCTTACGCTGTCTGTGCCGAGCGGGCCTTCCTGGCTGGGCATGTCCCTGAACTGGCCTTGGGTCTCGGGGCCAGGGCTTTGGAGGATGGAGCAGAACCCCGGGGATGGTTAATGGACAAGTGTCAGACACCAGCTGCTTATGCCCCAAAGTCCCCTTCCCCACCGGGCACCTGAGCCAAGCCCCCACCCCTGCTGCTTCCAGCGTTGCATCAGGCCTGTGGGGTCTCAGGTTCCTGGCCTGACCTGTTCCCACTGTGTGTGTGTGTGGAGGGGTGCGGGGGGTGCTGCCCGTACCCACCTTGGAGGGGCCGGCAGCTCGAGTCTTCTGGCTTGGCTGTCTGGAGCAGGACAGGGAAGGGTCTCTCCTGGGGGAGGAAGCATGGCAGCTCTCTTAGCGCCGGGCTGTAAAACCACCTCAGGTGGGATGGGGACAGAGATGCAACTAACCCCAGGGGCATGTAAGGGCAGAGCGAAGGGGGCACAGGTGCTGATGCTCTGCCCTCCAGCCATGGCATGGGGTGTGATCCTCCAGCCATGCTCGGCTCTGACCCTGGAACTGGCAGCAGGCTCCCGTGGTCTATGCCCTCTTGGTGGTGCTCAGAGGATCCCCTCATGTCTCTCGTCTGCCCCATCTCCTCCCCTGGTTCCCACCTGCTGGTCCCCATGGAAGAGATCCCAGCCAGAGCACCTGAAATAGCTGCCCAGCCCCAAGCCGTACCTGGGCGTGCCAGGGGGTTTTGCGCTGCTCTTAATCTCCCAGGGTTTACTGGCCCTTCTGCTCAGCAGGAGAGGGGCTCTCGGGGGCCTGGCAGGGGAAGGTTTGAAAGACTCCCCTGTGTTGCCTCTGCCCCTTCCTGGCTCCTGAGGGAATTCCGGAGTCTCGCTGGGAGTGGAGGCTGTGGCAGGCTGCCCACTCCCTGAGGAGGGATAATGGCACCAGAGGGAGCAGGCAACACACAAGAACTCCTTCAAATCCAGGCTCAGGGAACAGTGCTGGAGAACTTCGCTTCAGTCTAGACCAACCAGCTCTGGAAAGGTGTGGGCTCAGCTTGGCTGGCGGGCAAGCCAAGTTTGGGTGTAGGAAAGAGGGGCCGAGGGGGTGGCACTGTGGAGGCTGCGGTGAACCTGGCCGGGTAGGGCCGGGTCTTGGCACAGGCAGGGGCAGGGTCATAGTGGTAGTGCTGAGTAGGGGGGCCGGGGGGGTGGAGGTGGAGGTGGCGATGCCAAGAGAGCTAAAAGGGCACCAGGGTGGTGGTGGGTCTAGCCAAGGCAGGGGTGTTTTCAGGGTGACAGTGTTGGGGATAACAGGGGCCCGCCCAAGGGGCACCATGTGGCTGTGACAGCGAGATCTCACCTGCTGACATCGCTGTAGTCGTCCCTGGGTGTGCGTTTGGTGACTGGCCGGCTGACACAGCGACCCGCGCTGGTGAGGGCACTGATGGTGCAGGTGTAGGCCGTGTTGGCCCTGAGCCTGCGGGCCATGTAGGAGCGTGCCGTGCCCAGGTACACCACTTCCCCATTCAGGCACAGCTCATAGTTAAAGAAGCGTCCCAGGGGCGCTTTGGGCACGTCCCACGTCACAAAGATCTCACTGCGCCCCAGCACTAGAAGGGTTAACCCCTCCGGGGCATGGCCCCTCAGGGACATGGTCTTGGTGAGCAGCGTGGCCTTCCCTCCCTGGACTTTGCTGGTGCATGCGCAGATGCTGACCCGGTAGCTCGTGGAAGGGGCCAAGCCTCCCACAACGCAGCTGAGTTCTGGGGTGGAGCCCACCAGGGCCTTCCCCCTGTACACTGTGTAGTGTTTGATGGGGCCGTTAGGCTCAGCCGGAGGGGCCCAGCTCAATTTTAACTGGGTGGCTGTGCGACCTGTCACGTGGAAGTCCAAGGGGCAACTGGGCACTGGCTCTTCTCTGGGCAGCACCGTAGCATCGCTGTACGGCCCCCGGTCGCCCCTCGCCTCAAGGCAGAGCTGAAAGTGGTATTCCTGGCGTGGCACGCTGCCTGCGAAGGCATAGCTGAGCTCTGGCCCCCGGTACAGCAGGGCATCCCCATCATAGAGCCTGCAGACACAGCGGGAGATAACAGAACCACTTAGCAGAAGTGAACGTGGTGTCTTCTCAGGTCAGCCAAGGCTAGACCCAAAGACATGCTGGCCCAGCAGACAGAGGGCCAGATTCTGCTCTTAGCCACACCGGTCGGGGTAGCTCTATGGGCTTCAGAGAGTTACTCTGGATTTACACCAGTGTGACCAAGAGCCAGATCTGGCACAAAGGATCCATCCTATATGGCAGTGGGCCACAATCAACCGTGATGGGAACGGGAGTGGACAGTGACGGCAGGGGCATGGTTCTGGTCTCACTGGCATAGGTGTAAATCAGGAGTAACTCTGCTGAGGTCAGTGAGAGGAGAACCAGGCTTTCAGTGTAAATGGGTTGTAAATAGCACAGGAGGCAAAGCGGTACAACTTGCACCCCACTGGAGACCATGGAGTCAGGGGGTCACATTCAGTTGCATAACCCAAGTGTGACATTACACTCCATATTCTTTGTGAAAATATGCTTATGATATGGATGTGACATAACTGAGATATAGTTCATGCAAGATGACTCATGTAAGATATCATTGGAAAGGTTACGATTTACTGAATTTGTATGCATGTATCATTTCTGCATCTAAAGTTAGGAATATGGACTATGTAACAATTACAACTGGGTGTGTATTAGGAAGACGCCCACCAGATGAGCCATCTGGAAGAAACAAGATTGAAGATACTAATCTCTCTCCCTCCTGGGAGGCGTCCTGGGCGTAACTGTGACACTACTAGGTCAGGTGGTCTTGTCACCTGATCCAAAACATTGTCTTGGTCTTCTTGTAACTTTCCACTAAAAGGGAAGGTGGGTCAAGTTTGGGAAATAAAGGATTCCTGCCTTATGTAAATCTTATTTAAGGGTGAGGAGAAAGGCAAATGACACTCTCCTCCGTCGCTTACCCAAGAATCATAGAATATCAGGGTTGGAAGAGACCTCAGGAGGTCATCTAGCCCACCCCCTGCTCAAAGCAGGACCAATCCCCAGTTTTTGCCCCAGATCCCTAAATGGTTATGAACTCATAACCCTGGGTTTAGCAGGCCAATGCTCAAACCACTGAGCTATTCCTCCCCCCATGAAGGAGGACTGCTGAAAGTATCTGGAGGAACAAAGGCCCTAACCTGAAGGGAAGGGCACGGGAGAGTCCAGACTGAGACGGGGGCCAGTCAGTCTGTAAGAAGAAATGACTGGAACTCTGAGCTACAGAAACTCTGCATCCTGCCTAATTCAACATTTAGGGGGAGAAATTACATTCTGTAACCTGTTTCTTTAGTGAATCAAGCTTAGTTTGCATGGTTTGATTTTATTTGCTCAGTAATCTCCTTTGCTCTGTTTGTTATCTCTTATACTTACTTAATAGCTACTCTTTCTAGTTAATAAACTTGTTTTCTGTTTATTCTGAAACCCAGTTTATGCAATTCATAATGGGGGGGGGGGCAGGTAAGAGGCTGTACATACCTTCCACCACATTGAGGAAGGAGGTGGATTTCATAATATACCTTTGGTTCTGCACTCCAAGAGAGGTGGACACCTGAGTGTTGGGGCAAGTCCCATAAGCTGATTCTTCCCAGAGCTGATCTCAGTGTCTGTGTCATTCTGCAGTTGGGGGTGGCCCTTCCTGTGTGGGTGCTAGAGGAAGCTTAAGAGCCTGGCTCAACAAGACAGGTTAAAGGGGGCTCAGGCTGGCAGAACAGGTGGGCTCAGTGGATTTAAGCACATCAGGTGGCATCTTAAAGGGGGGGGGGCAACAAGTCACACCAAGCATCACTCCATTGAAGTCTTACTAGTGTAAACCCAATGGAAGCGCCAAATCAGGCCCATAGACCCGGCAGAATAAGTTACCCTAGATCTACAGAGCCACACCTGACAACAGGTCTTGTCTCTAGGGGGTTGTGTAGAGGACAGCCCTAGGGTCATGGTGAGCTCCCCTCCTTCCCATTACACTTTTTATCCCTGCACCCAAGGTCAAAGTCACCCCGCTCTGCTCAGTGCATTCCTAGAGGATGCTGGACTCTCATGCTATCACCTGTAATTGATCTCAAGGCTGCTCTGAGGCCTGAAACTTTCCCAGGTCACCTGGATGGAACCAGAATCCAGAACTTTGGCTTCCGGGGGTGGGGGTTTCGGGAGGCGCCGGAGCTTGGCCAGGGTGCCAGTCACTTCCTCTAGCAGCTCTTGTCCTGCTGTCTCTGAGGCAGCCACTTCCTGTGGAGAGAAAATGCTGCCTTCACTGATACGGGCAGCACCTTGCACCAGTGTGGACAGTAACGCACAAGTAGAGCTGGACACAAAATGGAAGGTTTCCATAGAAATTTTTTTTTTAACAGAAATTTCAATACCAAAATATTTTGATTTGGAAATGATGCAGTATTGCCTCAAGGGAGTTATACTTCAGGAACCTCATACTTTCATTCTCCTCTACAGGCTGAGCTCATTGATCAGACTACATCTCCCATGATGCAACAAGGTCCCCTACTTGGAAGGGGGTGATGCATTATGGGAGTCCCTTGCTGAGGAGCATTATGGGAGATGCAGTGCAGGCAGGGAGTCCAGCCTATTGAGGAGAATAGAAATGTGAGGCAACTGAACTGCAAGTCCCATCAGGCCTTGTGACAGTCTTTCCAAATAAAAATATTTTAGGTTTCTTAATAAAAAATCAGAATTCTCCAGGAAAAGGAGCCACTTCTTACGAGACAATTTTGTTTAGTAGAAAACCCAATTTTCTGTCAAAAAAGAGTTTTGATGGAAAATGTTTGACCGGCCCCACCTCCCTCCCCCTCCCACAAACTTCCTGGACTTGACTGAAGGAATAGAGCTTGGAGGGGAGTTCAAGGGGGTTGTCAGCTGGCATGGGGGAGGGGCAGTATTGTTTGTGTTTGGACAGCACCTAGCACATTCAGGGTACTCTGGTAAACAAGGGATTCATATTAAGAATTGTTTGATGATACAGTGGGACAGATCTGACCTTGGTGTAAATCTGAAGTGACTCCAGGGACTTGATTCTTATCTCTGTTTCCCCGGTGTAATCTGGAGTAACTCCAGCCAAGTCAATATAGTGACAGTTCTGAGATCTGAAACTGGTGCTCTTGATTTTATCGCTAAGATCAGAATGTGGCCCAGCCTGAGCCGCTGCCCCCTATCGGATGGCAGCAGTGTACCTGCAGAAGGTGTTCCAGGTCTGGGTGCTCTCTGAGTTTCATCACCCCCTTGGGCTGGCTGGCGAGCACATGCAAGGTCCTAGAAAACACGAATGGCTGCTGTTATGGGTCGTGTCCAGCGGGGGGCAGGGGCCAGCCCCATAGATCTGGTGGACAAGCGAAGAGAGAGGGCTCAGCTATGGGCCGAGCCAAAGAATAAACCCCAGAACGGAGAAGGACCATTCACCCTGCGCCCACAGGTCACTCAGGGAGGCGCTGCAGGCTCCAGTGGATGAAATGGGGGAGGCTCACATAAGCGATGGGTGAGTGAGGGCTGAGCGATGCCCCCATCCACCAGCTGGATTCCAGCCTCCCAGTGCCTGGGCCATGGTGCGCTGAAATCAGCTCCCAGGGCCTTGCTTGTGTGAGTCCTGTGTCATGGGCTCCCATTGGCTGTTGTGTGTGAGCTCTGCCCCAGGCGCTCCCAGTGCCCTCTTGTGAGCTCTGCCCCAGGCGCTCCCAGTGCCCTGTTGTGAGCTCTGCCCCAGGCGCTCCCAGTGCCCTGTTGTGAGCTCTGCGCCAGGCGCTCCCAGTGCCCTGTTGTGAGCTCTGCCCCAGGCGCTCCCAGTGCCCTGTTGTGAGCTCTGCGCCAGGCGCTCCCAGTGCCCTGTTGTGAGCTCTGCGCCAGGCGCTCCCAGTGCCCTGTTGTGAGCTCTGCCCCAGGCGCTCCCAGTGCCCTGTTGTGAGCTCTGCCCCAGGCGCTCCCAGTGCCCTGTTGTGAGCTCTGCCCCAGGCGCTCCCAGTGCCCTGTTGTGAGCTCTGCCCCAGGCGCTCCCAGTGCCCTCTTGTGAGCTCTGCGCCAGGAGCTCCCAGTGCCCTGTTGTGAGCTCTGCGCCAGGCGCTCCCAGTGCCCTGTTGTGAGCTCTGCCCCAGGCGCTCCCAGTGCCCTCTTGTGAGCTCTGCGCCAGGAGCTCCCAGTGCCCTGTTGTGAGCTCTGCGCCAGGCGCTCCCAGTGCCCTGTTGTGAGCTCTGCGCCAGGCGCTCCCAGTGCCCTGTTGTGAGCTCTGCGCCAGGCGCTCCCAGTGCCCTCTTGTGAGCTCTGCGCCACAGCTTTGTCCTGCCCCTGCCATTTCTAAGTGATGAGTTCAGACGTCCCTCCGCCCTGCTCTCCTGGGCACCCCTTACAGTGTGCGGGGAAGCGTCACCCACATGGCAGCAAACCAGGAGGACTCCTGCTCCTCGGCGCAAAGCAGGTGGCCCAGCGTATCCAGAGCCCGGGGGAAGGCAGGGCTCTGCAGCACGTGGTCATGCCCCTCTTTGTTGGCAGCCAGGCAGCTGAGAGCAAAGCAGGCGTTCCGGCTCCCTCCTGCCTCCGCGCTGGCCATCATGGACACCAGGGCATGGATCTGGAAAGGAAACGCCTCACCTAGTGCCTGGTCCTCGGGCAGCGGCTGCTGGGGGCCGTGCCCGCCCCTTCCCATGGCTGCCCCTGCGTTGGGTTCCCAGTGGTTGTCCCCTGGACAGCGTGAGCACGGCTGCCTCATCGTCTCCTAATGTCCAGGGGGGCTGGGCCGGGCCAGGGTGGAGCAGTGCCCAGAACAAACCCAGGCTGCCACTGAAAATGAGTGTTGGGGAAGGTGCTGTTTGCTTGTGCCCAGAGCAGGAAGCTGCAGGGCAACCTGCCCCCTTGATACTCTGCTGCTGTGTCCAGCCGGAGCCGGCCCAGAAGGGGGGCGCTAGCTAACCTCACGCAGTCCGGCCGGAGACTGCCGGCCAGCAAAGCCGGTTTCCTCAGCAGTTTTGGGGGTGGAGGCGCATCTCCACTTCCCCCCACCCAATGCATGACCAAAGGGCAAGGGCACGAGGGGAACCGCTACTGACCTGGGGGCTTCCCAGCAGTTCAGAGGGGAGAGGCTCCCATTCCCAGTCCCCTGTGCTGTGCCCCGGGGGCAGGACCCTGTAACCGCTCTGCATGCTGCTCTCTCAGGACAAGGGCCACGGCCACGGACACTGGGCCTGGGCCCTTACTTTCAGGATAAGTGGCACCCGTGCTGTCCCTGCTGAATGTGTGTGAGCTGGAAATGCCCCATGCAGAGCCTCTGGGGCCGCATGGGGAAACCCTCCCAAATCTTCTTGTTGGAAACAATCCCCCTTTCAGAGCATGTGTTGTATAGGCCGAGTTGTCCAGTGGTTAGAACAGGGGCTGGGCAGCTCTGACACTGACTCTCTGGGTGACCTTGGATGCAGCACTCCCCTGCTCTGTGCCTCAGTTTCCCCAGCTGTAACACGGGGCTAATGATACTGCCCCACCTCACCAGGAGTTGTGGGGCTAAGGAATGCCTGTGAAGTGCTCTGAAATCCTCCAGGGAAGGGCACTGGGGATAAGCAGGGGTTATTGTTATACTGGCTGCAGACCAGCCTGGTGCTGCTGGGGGAGCCAAGTCTGGTGCAGAGCTGGGGCTGTGGATTTGGGAGGGACACTGAATGCCCTGTTACTCTCTGGGGCCCCTTCTGGTTGATTTAAGGAGCAGCTCTGAAGGGCTGCAGAGGGGAGGATCCCTGGGACTCCAAGTCCATCCCCTGCTGCTGCTAGGGTTGCCAACTTTCTAATGGCACAAAACCAAACAACCCTGCCCCGCCCCTTCCCTGAGGCCCTGCCCCTTCACCTGCCCCTTCTCTGAGGCCCCACCCCCGCTCGCTCCATCCCCCCTTTCTCCATTGCTCCCTCTCCCCCACCCTCACTCACTTTCACTAGGCTGGGGCAGGGGGTTGGGATGGGGGTGGGAGTAAGGGCTCCGGCTGGGGGTGCAGGTTCTGGGGTGGGGCAAGAGATGAGGGATGTGGGGTGCAGGAGGGGGCTCAGGTCTGGGGCAGGAGGTTGGGGTCTTGGGACCTGCGGGGTGAGGGCTCCGCCAGGGGGTTGAGGCAGGAGGGGACAGGAGGGGACTCTGGGCTGGGACGGAGTTGGATGTGGGAGAGGGTTTGGGGTGTGGGGTTCCGGAAGCGCTTATCGCGGCTCCCAGGAAGTGCCAGCCAGACCCCTGCAGCCCCATGGTGCATGGGCGGCCAGGGAGGCTGTGCGCGCTGCCCTCGAGCCTGCAGGTGCTGTCCCCGCAGCTCCCATTGGTCACAGTTCCTGGCCAATGGGAGCTGCGGAGCTGGCACTAGGGGCAAGGGCAGCGCGCGGAGTCTCCCTGGCCGCCCATGTGCCTAGGGGCTGCAAGGACCTGGTGGCCACTTCTGGGAGCCGCACGGAGCTAGGGCAGGCAGGGAGCCTGCTTTAGCCCTGGGCCCCCGCTGCGCTGCCAGCTGGACTTTCAACGGCCGACCGGAGCCGCCAGGGTCCCTTTTCGACTGGGCGTTCCAGTCGAAAACCGGACGCCGGGCAACCCTAGCTGCTGCCCTTCCCTGCGAGATGCTGGGTCTGTCCTGCGAAGAGCAGAGGTGGCTGCTATCGGTGTGACGGACAGGTGTCAACCGTGCCCCTTGCTCCTGCGGTGGCATCTCTGTGTTGTTTCTACCATGGACAGGGCTTGTGATAGGGACTCTGGGCCTGCTCCTGGCCCCCCAGCATTCTTGACAATCCCCCCTCCCCTCCCCGGATGCTGGGGGAGCAGGTCTACCCTCCGCCAACCCCGCTTGCCTCTCCTCTTACCATGCTGGGGACTTCAGGGAGGGCAAAGAGCTGCCGCAGGCCGAGGTCCGTGTCACACAGGCGCCCCAGCGCAAAGGCAGCGTTCATGCTGCAGCCTGGAATCCCAGCAGGAAGAAACTCGTCAGGAGCCAGAGGCTCAGAAGTGCTGGGTTCTCATGCGGCCCCCAGGACCGTGGGGGGCGGGGGCGGGACAGTTCTGCTCTGCATGGTTGGGGGTCCCCGACAGGTTGCCTGGTGGAGAACTGGCTGCTTATGCCACTGGTGATGGGGGTGTGGCATGGAGTTCTGGGCCTGGGTTCCCCTACCTACTCCAGCCAGGGGCTTTTGGAGGAGACAGTCTTAAGCCTAGGAGACCATGGGCTGATTAGCCCTGCTAGAGCCAAGGAACTTTTCTGACTCCCGGCCACCCTGAAGGGGACAGAGACTACTGAGGACCTGACCAAGTCATAACAAAGACTTGACAAACGCCAAATTAGTGAAAAGAACAGGAGGACTTGTGGCACCTTAGAGACTAACAAATTTATTTGAGCATAAGCTTTCGTGAGCTACAGCTCACTTCAAATTAGTGGTGGTGACAGGGACAAACCAGGTTGGTGTAGCGCCCCCTCTCACCACAAGGGGGTGCTAACAGACAAAGCCCCCCATATTACAGGGGGTGCTGTATTAGGGGGATTTTACCACTTCCTCTTCAGCATGGAGCCAACACCGCGGTCAGGGGCAGGGCAACCGTCTAGGTCTGCTGCAGAAGATACTTCCTAGGCTCTGGCATTAACTTCCTGCCCAGGTCTCAGTCAAGTGCAGGGTGGACCTGCTGCTTCTCCAGCCCCGGCCACTTCTCACTCCTCCCCTTACAAATCCCTGGGCCCGAGGGACCCGAGATGGGGAAATGTTGCCACGGGGCAACTGCTTTCTGCTTCTGCATGGGCAGGGACCAACCCGTGCAGAGAGGCGCTTGAGCCTGGAGTGAGCAGCTCAGACTTCTGGTTTCCGGCTGTCTTGGGGGTTTTGAGGAGTTGGAGCCTTTAAAACCTATTCTGAAAAACTGTATCTCAGCCAGGCAGATCCCAGAGACCCCAAGACAAACAGACAGACCCTCAGATAGTGCTACAGACAGATGGGACAGGTGGTGATAGAGAGAACGAGAGATCTTCTCCTTGTCTGTAGATTGTCCCCTTTCCTCCATGACGCTCCCCTGCTTTGGCCCATCCATAATATAGACTATCAAGGTTGGAAGGCACCTCAAGAGGTCATCTAGTCCAAACCCCTGCTCAAAAGCAGGGCCAATCCCCAATTTTTGCCCCAGATCCCTAAATTGCCCCCTCAAGGATTGAACTCACACCTGTGGGTTTAGCAGGCCAATGCTCAAACCACTGAGCTATCCCTTCCTCATACAATCTGCTATGTTCTCATTGATCCTTTCTCCACCCCCTTTCTGGTCTCCCATGAGCCCTCCCAACCCCTACCTCCACCCCAGGCACCGAGCCCTGGCTCATCCCAACCCACCTGCTTCCTCTGCTCTCAGGGAGGCGATCAGCTGTCTCAGGAGGTGCTGGGAGCAAGGGTGTCCCAGCAGTTTCACGCGGCCCTCCTGGGAGCCAGCGATTCGGGCCAGCCCCAGGGCTGCGTTGCTTGCCGTGCCTTTGTCAGCTGAGGTCAGCAGCCCTCTGAGCTTCTCAACAATCTCGTCAGCTTTCTGGGCTTGGAGCAGCCATTGCCGGCTGGGACCTGTTTCCGCCTCGGGGAGAAAATGGGTGAAAAGATGGGAATCAGGGGAATACCTGATAGCCACAAATGGCAGGTCGGGGTGTGTGCACTCAGGAGGGGGGGAAGGGGGGAGGTTATCTGGGGCACAGCCTTCCCTTCCCTACTTCAGCTGTCATGAGCCTAATGGAGACAGCACTAGGCTAGGGCTTGGGGGACCTAGGTTTACTCCTGACTCTGCCACAGACTGTGACCTTGGGCAAGTCACTTCCTTGATCTGTGTCTCAGTTTTCCCTCTTGTACAATGGGGAGAATGATCCTGACCTCTTGCGTAAAGCACTTTGAGATCTACAGATGAGAAGCGCCGTGTAAGAGCCGGGTTTTATGAAAGCAGGAGGAAAGTGAATCCTGTGCACCAGGCTGTATGACTGCCCCTCACGGCTCTCCCTCTCTGAGTGCCAAGGTGCTGCCCCTGCCCTGTCTCCTGGAGCTCAGGCTGCTCTACAAGCCAGTGGTGAGATTGCAAAAGCCAGCCCTGTTCCCTGCAGGCTGGTGCAGCCCATGCCCCATGGGCATTAAAGTAGAGGTGGCTGGCACAGGTGAGGCCTTAGCCAGTCCAGCTGCTCTGGGAGGAGGGGCTGCCTGCACTAATCTCAGCCAGCTGAATCCCTGAATGGGCTGGGCATGGGACTGTTAATGGACGGGAGCCTCATGCAATGGGATGCTCCAAGGAGGGATTCCACCTACGCAAACCTTGGAGCCCCCTGAGATACACCTACTGCCTAGGGAAAGAGCGTTCCTTACCAGGGAGCCCAGGGTGCCTGCCACATTCATCACAGCCTCTGGGTCGTCCCAGGTCAGCATGGCGCTCATGCTATCCAGGAGATCCTCGGAGCCCGAGCCACCCCCTGCCAGTGCCACCAGGCGTGCCGCCCCGCTCTCATTCTCGGCGATGGTGCCCAGGATGTAGGCAACGTTGCTGCACAGCCTGGTACAGGAGAGAGCCAGTCAGGTCTTGGGGCTGTTTCATGTCCCACCCACCTGGCAGAGAGCCAGGGGTGCTGCGAGCCTGGAGCAGAGTGCTGGCAATGAGACCCTGGCACCAACGGCTCCTTGTGCAGCTGTGCTAGGGCTGGGGGCAACCTGGCCTGTCGCGGCAGTTGCAAGCTGCAGCCTGCCCCAAGCGCAGCAATTTGGGTTTGCAGGTTTGGGTTTTATTTGATCTGGTTGGAGGCTTTTAAGCAAATTGGCATATTTTAGGAACGTGTGTGCGTGTTATATCGTGTTCAGCCAAACTCAGCCCCCCTGGAGCCCTGCGCTGCCAGCCGGCACTGCGGGTGTTAGGCCCCAGCAGCCCCCTCTAGCTACAGTTCCCAACGTCCCCGAAGTGGTAAATCTGGCGTATTTTGGGTGCATTCCTTAGCTGGGCCTTGTGGAGTTAGAACTAGAGGCAGAAGCGCCAGGTGGTGATGAAAGGCGACAGACAGCACCAGGTTCCTAGGGAGTGTGAGTGAGTGTGTGTCTCTGTGTGTGTGTCTCTGTGTGGGCTGCGGAAGAACTGGACTGAAACTGAGCAACGCAGCTCAAAATCAGGGCAGAGGAGAGAGAAGGGCAGTTAGGGCCTGATCCTGCAGGGTGCCCTGGGTGGTGCTGAGCACCTGCAATTCCCATTCACTTTCGCTGGAGTGGGGTGCTGGCAGGAAGTGCTGAGCGACCAGTTGATGCTGGTTGCTGTGGAGTAGGGCAGGGAAACCCAGCCTGGAGGGTACAGTCGTGGTGCAGTGCTGAATGCCGGGCTCCCCCGCGCTGAGTTACAGCCGTTACCATGGCTTGCTCCTGAACTTTGGACCTTCTGCAGCAGGCTGATGCGTTCCCGAAACTACAGGAAAGAGGTGCCAGGGCTCCGGCAAGAACGAGACCGTTCCTAGCCCAACATGGCACCCTCTGCACAGCCTACCCTCACATGCGCCATACAGATGAGCTCACGCCCAGCATGCAAGCGTAGAATTGCCAGGGCAGCATGCCAGCACGAAAAGCTTGTTACCCTCACCCAGTGACTCCTAGCAGGGAAGGCAGGAAGCCCATCAGAACCATATACCCATCTCAGCTGCCCACTTATCCTGAAGGATCCCAGCCGGCAGGAGTCTGCAGATTGTATAAACTATAGGGCAGCCCGTCCAAACAGGGTGGAGGAAGGAGACAGGCAGTGACAGGAAGGGAAGGAGGAAGAGCAATGAAATTCTTCTACCTGTGAAGTTTCAGTTCCTGACCATTTCTGGACCCTCCTTGGGAGGCAGAGACAGCTCACTTAGACTGGCCAAACCGTGGGGCAGAGCTTGTCTGTCTTCTGGGTCTGTACAGCACCTAGCACTGGGGTGGGGGGGTCTTGATCCATGAGTGGGGGTCCTAGTGCTACCGCAATACAAATACTGTACATAAATAATACTAAGCACTGGAGATCATGAGAAAGACCCATGTTTGGGAGAGCGGGGCACCTTCTTGGGGGGCAGGATCTGTGGAGGATTGGTGCAAATTCTTACCAGGTGCCTTCCGGGCACTCCTGCAGTACGGCAGTGCCCCAGTGCGGTGAGTGCAGCCCCCGCTCTGCAGGCAGAGCCACCTCTGGCCACCGAACCGGGCAGGGTGCGTAGGCTTGTCTACACTATGGGGGCTTCAGTCGACCTAGCCGTGTCGATGCTGGAGGTCAAGTAGGCATAGCGACAGCACTCAGGACTGAATGACATTTTTACCGCACACCAGGCCTGTATCGTGCAGCGTGATGGACTGGCCCGTTTGGGAAAACATCCCCCTTCCACTGTAAAGACAGGCAGGAGCTGGGCTCCTCGTTCGTTACACCCCAGCAGTGCGCTCAGAACAGGGGTGGAGAGGACGCTGCTCAGGGACGAATAATGCCCAGAATCGCACGGGGATTTTAGCCTCAAAACAGTTTGATTTTTGCATGAATAAAACCCATATGGGGCCAAGTTGAGCTCTGTTGTAAGCGGGTGTAACCCACACTGTCTTCAGGGGGAGCTGCCCCTGCTTACGCCAGGGCTGCATTGGAGCTGGCAATGGGTTAGAAAGTAGCTATTTTGTCACTGCCTAAGCCACCTGGTACATGGGGCAGGCTGCCCTACGTGGGGTGCTGGGGTGCTGCCCCACGTGGTACCTGGGTGCACTGCAAGAGCCCAATGGGATATGGCCCCGCTGCGCTCCAGCTCCCACACAGGCTGCTGCAGGGTCAGGCACGGAGATCAGAGGTCATTAGCCTCGGTGCCAGCACGGTGCCCAGCATTCCCATGCCTCCAGCCTGGAGTCATTATTCTGCCTGCCCCATGGCTGGCCTGGCCTCTGCGGAAATGGCCTGCAGCAGCCTCCAGGAAGGTGAAGGCCACTAGGTTTAATGCCGTTACCTGACTGGCAGTGATCAGCCGTGAGGAGGGGGAGCTGAGAGCGTTTCCAGCCCGGCTGGGAAGAACAGAGCAGAAAGCTCAGGGAGAATCCAGCTAGTGCAGAGCCAGGCGCTGAGGGTGCCACCCTGCAAGGGCAGCAGCTGCGCCAAACAACTGAGCAGCGGGGTGCAAGGGAGACTAGGGTTCGACAGCTGTTTGGGGCTTTGCCATCGCAACTGCCTGGAGACTGAAACTCAGGCCAGGCCGTGGCTCCGAGAGGCCCAGCCCTAACCAAGTGGCTGGGGGCTGATCCCCTCTCGGTTTGAATGGCAGCGCCACACCCGGGAACAGTGCCTGCCAAACTCAGAGCCTCTTTGCCTTCCTTTGTAGTTGTGCACCGGGTGTAACAGCCTAACCCTAATGGGAGCCATTTATCTTCTCAGGGCCTGTTAAGGGTGTTGGCAACAACCCTGCAAGAGCAAACACCAGAGCGGGAGGCGCCCATTGTCCAGTCTCTGTAGGACACAGGGTCTGGAGATTAGAGCACAGGAGAGTGAGGCCCTGATCCTAGGCTTCATTTAGGGGCTGATCCAAAGCTCAGGGAGATCAAGGGGAAACTTTCCTTTGATTCCTATGGGTTTTGGGTGAGGGGCTCAAGCGTAGGCTTGACTGTGCTCAGTGAACAGCGCAACGGTTCAATGTCCTCTGTTTAACCGCTCACCCCTGTGTCTTCCACTCCACATCCTCTGTCCCGCCCAGTGCAAGTACCAACATGCTCTCCACACACTGGCGGGTCTGTGGGTTTACTTTAAATTTACACTCCAGTAACTACACACGTCTGTGGAGAGCCAGTCCCCCTGCCTTATTCACTATGGACCCCATGCTGCTGGTAACGATGGTTAGTGTTTTCTTCTTAAAGCCCCAGCTCCTGGAGTAGGTGAGACTGGCAACTGTCATGTGGGGGGGAAAAAAGTCTGTTAGTGGTCGCAGAGAGGAGCTTGAAAACATAGCAAACCCCAGCAGGTCAATAAACAGAGCCCAACTGTATTATGTTTAAAGTCCCCTGGATTTAAAGCAATCTCATGAGCTGAATGAGGCAGAGGGCCTGCCGGAAATAGTATGGGCCCATCTGGTTAAAGACTGAACTGGAATGTAGACACAGCAGGGGCAGAGTTAAAGTCACCAGGACAAACTGATCCTCAGCATTTCCTGATGTTTTAGTGCTTCACTCTGCCACCTTCATCCCTTTATGGACTTTTTGTGGGTGGAATTTTCCTGTTTTATTTTTTAAAGGAAAATGATAAAACAATGAATTCCCATCACATGCCGGAGAGAATCATAGAACCATAGGGTTAGAAGGGACCGCAAGGGTCATCTAATCTAAACCCCACAGAGCCAAAGACCACTGTGTCCTGCACTGGATGGTCCCTCGGTCAGGGCATCTGAACTGCCCTGCCTCAGTCAATGCATCTATTCATAGACCGCATGGAATGAGACAGGGTGGATCTGGCTGTGCCAGGCTAGGAGGGTCCAGTCTGGGTCCATCTCTAGTTAGAAGCAGCCGCCATAGAAGTGGATGGTGTGAGAGAGCAGGGGAGTCATAGATAAGCACACCATGTCAGACGGGTATCCCCTCTAAGCCGTACAAGGGGAATAGTCCCACACTCACTCACCTCACTTCAGGAGCAGCCAGGAGTCTACAAAGAGCCCCCAGATACTCTTCACACTCAGCATCTCCCAAGAAAACCTCCAGCATGCCTTCTCTGTCCTTGTGAAGATCAGCCACTAGGCCTTGGACAGCCTGCAGCACCTGCTGGGGGTCTGGGGAAAGCAGCAGGGGGAAGGGGCTGCACATCTCAGCAGCGTCCTCAGTAGGAACCAGACCAGGAGCAAACTTCCCAAGAAGCCTCCTCCCTTCCGCCTGCCAGTATCTAGAGGAGCCACCAGAGATGTCTAGTCAGGCAGCTGCAAAGATTCATCCAGGCAGGTGGCTGAAAGGACAGAACTGCTACCAGGAGCTCCAGTGATCTTCCTCCTTGGAAAAGACATGGGAGCAAACATGGCCAAGAGAGCGGTCACTCCCAACTCCTTTCTTCCAGATCTCGCTCCAGCTCACTGCAGTCTCCAAAGGAAAAGATAAACCTGCCCTGACACCTCCGTTGGATAGGAAACATCAAGCGGAGGTTCAGCAACCCCACAGCCACTTGCCCCCAGGTCTGTTCTTTCCCCTGCCCCTTCCCCCAGCTGTTTCTCTCTTTAGCACTAGGAGGGTCAGGAAGCAGCAGTCACAGAGTCACAAGCAGGAAAGGGAAAGTGCAAACCCAGGAGTTTGCTTCGTGTTAAGTTTTTCCTAGTGCCTTGCCTGCTCCTTGCTCCTTTCAGCCTGGCTCCCTGCAGCCAATGCCCAGTGCCAGTGTGTGAACACATCTCATGGACTGTGGCATTCCGGGGGAGAGGGGCCTTTCAGATCGCAGAAGATTGATGTCCCATGCCGCCAATCAAAGGGAAGCCCTGCCTGGGGAGGGAAGGCCCTCAGCTACTCCAGTTAGTTACTGTAGTTGTCAGTTGCTTTGTTGTCATGCCACATTTAAAGGGGAATACCCCTGTAACAATGGGCACAAAACCACTGTAAACCAATTCTCGCCTGCAGATGGAAATATACATGAAGGAAATAATGTATAAAATGTTGCATCCAATGAAGTGAGCTGTCGCTCACGAAAGCTCATGCTCAAATAAATTGGTTAGTCGCTAAGGTGCCACAAGTCCTCCTTTTCTTTTTGCGAATACAGACTAACACGGCTGTTACTCTGAAACCTGTCAATGTATAAAGAGGAATCCAATATTTCCTGCTATAAAAGTCAACCTTCCCACTGAAAGCAGGAAAGAATTTTAGATCGCTGACAAAGAGAGCGAACAAAGGCCCCAATCCTGCAGTCGGAGCTGCACATCCACCAGATGCTTGTGCCCATGCAGGGTCAGGGGTTAAATGATTTTCTCCCATGTGCCAGCTGTCAGATGTGTCTGTTGCCCTGTGCAGGTGATTTAGTGCTTGCTGGTGAGAAGGGAGAAGGCAGAGACCAGCAGGCCGCTTATCTTTTGAATGAGAAACTCCCATTTGGAACTAGTGATCCTGGTTTGTTTTGTTTCTGCACCTTGGTGGGGAAGGGGGGAGAAGGGGTGTGTGAATAGGATTATGTGACCATTCCCCGCACCAGCAGAGAGATGAAATCTCCCCTTGGCACCCATGTATATCTGTTCATTCAGACAAAGATGAAATGGACGCCCTGCACCTTGGCTTGGCAGGTGCCCCCAGCATGTGCCAGGTGACTGGTGTTATGTTTCTCTTTGCACTGGTGGAAACAGCTTCACACAGCGCAGGCAGGAGAGAATCAGGACAGGAGCCTGTAACCTGAACAACAAGTGTCTTTCTTGTGTTACTAATAGTGTAACCCCCTGGGCAGAGTGTGGTGTGTCCCCGCTGGGCCCAGTCCCCGCAGCATGAGGCTGGGCCAGCTCCAGGCGCGGCTCTTTGGTTCAAGCTGGGACGCCGCCCCCTGTTTGCTCTGCGGCCTTGGTCACAGACCCTCACTCCGGAGGGATCAGACACGGGGGGAGGCAAAACATCGAAATCTCTCCCCAGCCCTGCTGCCTGGCTCGCCTAGGCTCCCTGCGCCCTGGCTCTGCGCAGCCGGGCAGGCGCCCCACGCGGCATCTTGTCTCCTTGAAGCCAGCTGAGCTCCTGCTGGCTCAGATTAAGCACGTCCCGGCAAACCCTGGTTCAATCCAGAACGAAACCTGTTTCCATTCGGCACGAACAGCGGGAACCTGCCTGCGCCCCCTGGGGCTCGTAGCGCCCCCGGCCCGAGCCCCGGCCCGCCTGGCCGCGTCCCCTTTAAGCTGGGCGGGGAGGTTGAAAGAGACGCGCTCGCCCCTCCTCCCAGCCCGGCCCCTTCCTGCCCCAGCCTCTGGCCTGGGGAGCGGCCCCCAGCCCCGCTAGGGCCGAGCTGCCCGCGCCCTGGGTCCCCCACCCCAGGCATGGCCGAGCCGGCGGGGCCCTTTTACGCGCTGCGGCTCGGGGATCACCAGTATCTCTGCTACTGCGCCGCGCAGGAGAGCAGCGGCTTCAATATCTAGTAAGTGCGGGGCATTCACAACCCCCCGCCCGCCCCAGGTACCCCGGGGGGGCGCGAGGCTGCAGGGAGCCAGCACACCCCCCCCCCCGCCAGGCCAGGGGGCTCAGCGGGGCTCAGGCCCCTGCGATCGCATCCCAGCTCTGCGGGGGGGGCTGTTTCCCTGCCTGCTGCAGGACCTGCCCCCCCCCGCCCCAGCGCCTGGGGCAATTACCCCCCCCCCGCCGTGCGATCTCTGCCCGTGCGGTTTGCACGCACCGGGCCCCGTGAACCGCGGCTGCTCCGCCTCCCGGGGTGGGTAACCGGCTTCGAGGGGCCGGGGGGGGGGGGTCCTGCTTCCTGCGGGGCTTGACCCGCAAACCCAGGGCCCGTGGCTGCGGCGTGGCCCCTCTCCCGGCCGGGAGCCGGTGACTGCCCCCCCGGCCGCCGCACGCCGCGTTCCCGGGGCTCCGCTTCCAAGCCGGGAAGGAGCCGCCTGGTTTCGGCGCGGGGCCGGGGGCTTCGGCTGCGGGCCTAGCTCGATCTCCGCCTGCAGCGTTTGCAGTTCCAGGGACGGCCCGGGCCGGGCTGATGCAAAGCCCCGTTTCCGGACGTGCCACGGGCTTCCCCGCGTGAGTGGCGCCTCGGGTGGCCCCAGCCGATCAGGTTCTCCGCTATTTCCGCCGCCTTTTCTCTCTTTGGGGGGCTCCCTTGGGACAGTGGAGATGTGGGTCCGTCCGTGTCCGTTTCTCCCGCAAGGTCTCCTTGCACCCGTGGCAAATCGCGCAAGAGAAGAGTTTCTTTCCCGCTAAGAAACTAACCCGAGGTGGGAATCTCGGAATTGCCAGATCTGTGTAAACTGGGTATCTAAATCTGTGCTCCCCTTTTTAAAAAACGAATCCCAGGGCCCGGATCTCAGTTTTCCCTCCACCTAGCAGCACAAAGGGAATCATTAAAGGGGACCTCACTTGCCTTTGGGCTTGATTTAGGGCGCCTTTGCGCGGCCGGTGCCAGGGGTTTTTAAAGGGACCAGTGAGGAATGAGAATACAGCTCTCTTGATGTGAACTGTTCTGCTTTTTGTATTAAAGGGATGCCACCTCAAAAGTGCATTTCTGTCCCAATGTTCGACATGCTCTTGTTGCAACTCACACCCACAGCTGTATCTGAAAGAGATTAGAGAAATAGCTTCTTTCTGTGTGTCCTACAGTTCTCAGAGTAGCAGCCGTGTTAGTCTGTATCCGCAAAAAGAACAGGAGGACTTGTGGCACCTTAGAGACTAACCAATTTATTTGAGCATGAGCTTCCCTGAGCTACAGCTCACTTCACTGAAGCTTCCCTCCATTCATCAAAGTGAGCTGTAGCCCACGAAAGCTTATGCTCAAATAAATTGGTTAGTCTCTAAGGTGCCACAAGTCCTCCTGTTCTTTCTACAGTTCTCTGGTTCCCTGGTATAGTCAGTTCCCAGCAGGTAAGTCACTTTCCCCTGTTTGGGCCGGTCTTCCCCAGGGTAAAAGGAAAGAGTAAAACAATTCTTAAACACAGGACACTGTGATTGTAAAAACCACAGCTGGCATGGGGCCCCAAACTACTTCAACCATTTTTTTTTTTAATGGGCTAGATGTCACCTTTATAAGGTCCCTTTAAATTCATCCCATCTTGTTTCCCCAGTGTAACCAATGCATCTGAGGTGTGGAGTACTGATTTCACCCCGGAGAAGCTGGAAGGACATGTAGGTAACAATTGTGCAGGTTCCAACCTTGGGTGGCTGATGCCAGTCACAATGGGTACCACGCACATCAAGTCAACTTAAAGGGGACCTGCAAATGTGGGGTGGCCCAGGGGGGTGTTAAACTTTATATATACATTTTAGGAGAGCAACGTTTTAAAAAGATGGATTAAAAAGCAACAGTTTGGCTCATTTAAAAACATAAGCAGAGAAAATCAGGAAAAAATGATCGTACGAGAACCAGTGTCTCTAATTATAACTTTCAGAGGTTGTTATCCAAGCTGTTAGGAACAATAATTGATATTTATTGTGGCTGTAAAAGTGCACTTGGCAGAATTCAATTTTTATTTTTTATAATTTTGAGGGCTAATATCAATGTTAACTTTTAAAAAAAATTAATATTTTCATGTATTTAAATTTTTACAGTTGTGGGAAATTAGTGTGGGTCAGACAATAATTAAATGACAGTTGATGTTGAGATTTAAAAAGTTAAAGCTTTATAACAATTAGAACACACATTGTCAGCATCACATGTCAAAATGGACAAAGTAAATGTCCTTCAATCAACTTCTAATAAGTTCTCGGTGACATATTTCTTACTTTGCCTATCTCTAAGTTTTGATTATTATAAGTGGAAATTTTTCATCTGTTTGTGTGTGTATGTGCAGAAATCAGTGTTTTCTGATATCCATAAACATTAGCTCTTTCCAAACCTATGTATAAGTACCTTAACAGGGGAGAAAAAACCAGGTACTGAAGTGCTCTGCAGTGTAATGGAGAAGGCACTACAAGAACCAGCGGCTGGAAATTAAACCAGACAAATTCAACTTAGAAACAAGGCCCTCATTTGTAGCAGTGCGGGTAGCTGTAACTAAGTGCTCCATGTACCCCAGAGGTCATCCAGCAGTCATTTGGTCACTAATGATCTCGTTCGGTGGGAGGAAGGAGTCCTCCCCTCTGCGATGAAGAGGCGGGTGTGATGGAGTCACTGTGAAATAGCTCAATGCCAGTCCATGACACTAGGGCCTGATTTGCCTTTGGCCTGCACCTCGTGTGGCTGCTTCCACCAGTAGAGAGTGGTTGTAAAATCAGAATGTGCTTTGCACCCGTGCTCGCTGGTGTAAGGGGCTGCACACGGCGGAGCGGGATCAGGCCCCTCGTATCTGTCACTGGCGGCTAAGCCTTCCTCTGGGGGTCTCTCTCTTTCAGAAGGCCCAGAGTGGGATGTGTCCTTCTGAAGATTACAGCACAAAGTTCAGGTGAGCTCTAAGGTGAGATCTTCTGCCTGGGAACGAACAATCGGGGCTCGTTTTGGTGGGTCTGGAAACCCTTGTCTCACGCCAATCTCTTCCCTGCACAGAGAAGCCTTTGAGCACAGAGCTGCTGCCTTGACAGTACATGACAGCAAAGCCACCCTGCAGCTGAAGGAAGGTACCTGGAGCTTGACTTTTGACCTATTCAAGCTACCCTGCTCTGAAGCTAGGAACCAGTTGCAGGCATTGATGTTTGGCTTAGTGGGGTGTGTCAGCAGCCTGGAGAAACGTCTTGAAGGTACCGTGTGCACGTGTGGACATTTTTTGGAGTCAGGGGAGGGGAACATTGATTTCAGCTGCCATTATCTTGCCATCTGCTGCCCACCGCTGTAATTCAGGGCAGCCCCTCCTGGCTGGGCAAGGGCAGATTCCTCATTATGGCTCTCAGGGCATGTGGGAAGCTGGTGCTTGGAGGTGGCTGCACCTTGTCCACCTACAACGGAGGAAGATGTTTTACCTGCACTTGGAAAACCAAGCTGCGACTGGGCCAGCCTGTGTGTGGCGAGCACACTGGGGTACAGAGCCAACTTGGAGGGGGGGTGGGGGTGCTGATGGGGTTGTGCTGCCCTCCTCTGAGTCTGGGGTAACTTGCATCCCCCCTTGCCTCTCCCACATACAGTCATGGAAGGGGGCCCAGCCCTCAAGGCTGTTGCTCTGCGGGGGTGCAGCAATTGGGAGTGTGAAAGGCTGGTGAGAAGCCATAGTTGGGCTGGTTTCTAGCCGGAGCCTGCCAGGACCTCTGCTGGCTACAGAAGAGTAAAGGCCTGCGGCTGTTTGCGGGCTGTTGGGGCAGGTGGATGTGAGGAGACAGCCTAGAAAACCCAGTGGTGGCTGAGTGTGAATGTAACAGCCCAGCTGGAGATGACAGAGTGCAAACGGACCTTTTTGGCACAGCGGTCCCTGCCCTGGGAGTTTGATGGTGACCCACTGCAGGGTGCAGGGCAGGGTTATGGGGGAGGCACTAGGAGGAGAACGCTGCTCGGGGGGAGCATGGTATTTTCAAGTCCAGCTGTGCAAGCATCACTCTAAGCCCACGTGCACTTGGCTCTTCTCCCATTTGCTCTGCGCCTCCCCCCGGGTGGTGCTGACCGCTGCACGCAGCAGCTGGTCTGGGAGCACAGGGCTGTGTACGCTGCACAGGGGGCAAACCTTGACCAGACGTCGTCTGTCTCCTTCTCTTAGCTGCAGAGGATGCTGCTGCTTCATGCAGTCCAGAGAAGAACCTGCTCCAGAGCCAAAGGCTGTTGATCCCAGGTAGGGACGGGATGGTTGCCAGGGTTTTGCTGCCTTGCTTGCAGTTTGTCCCACATAAGGTTTCTTGCTGCTGGATCCATTCACTCTCCAGAACTCCCCTGTGCGCCACGGATTTAAATGCACCCCCCCCCCCATGTTAATGCAACGTTGGGGTTCACGGATAGTCACTGAAAGTCAGGGAATCGAGAAGTTCGCTTCCGATGGCGACAGTAACTCAGCCCTGGGGCATGTGGTGTGTCTGAGACCCTCCACCAATACCACATGCTGGCCAGCGTTGCTCTAGCATCCCTCCAGCTGGATTCGCAGTGGAAACGTTGCCAAGCACTGAAACATCCTGCCCTTTCGTTGGCCTTTGCTCTTAAGCCAGTGCCACTCCAGCAAAGCTCACTAGGAGCGGGTCCCTCTCTAAACACCACCTTAAACCTGGAGCCTCTGCCGCTCAGTGGGGCAACCTGGCACGCGGCAACAGCAGCAAGGATGGAACTGGGACCCTTCTGCCCAAAAGCACCCACTTGGCATGGCCCCGGTGGCTTGCCGGTAATGGCTTTATAGAGGCTGCTAGCCACAGACAGACCCCGTGGGTTCTCTGTGGCTCCCAGGCTGAGTAAACGCAGCCTAATGTCCCCACACAAGGTTTCACCCTGGCCTGGCCTCAGCAGCACTTTGACCAGAGGCTCTCATCCTTTCTGAGCAGACCTGAGTCCCAGGAAGAACAGGGGAGGCGGCTCAGCCATGACAGCCAAGAGACGAGTCCCAGGAGAGTCTCTCATTAACCCGGGATTCAAAAGGTAATTCCTCCAGCATCTGCTCCTCTCCTAGCCTTTGAGCCGCAGCCCAGTGACCTGCGATGGCCACCTGGAGCCAGCCTGGGCAGACTCGACCAGGCCGGGTTTGTACGACGGCTGGCAGCTGCAGAGCTGCCAGTGTGGCCCTCTGAGTTTGCATGTCCAAGCGCCATAGCCAGCGACTCAACCCCTTCCTCTGTTCTCTTTAGTGGGGCCAGGTGTCCGTCAGATGTATTGACCGGACGCCCAGAGTCCGGTTACCATGGCGGGACAGGAGGTGCTGGGTCATCAACCTGCACCAGCTCCTTCTCAGCTGTGGCCACCTCCTTCCTACCTGCATCACGGGCAGGCAGGCAGACAGCGGGCTGCAGCTCCCGTCCCAGCCCCAGAGCAGAGGGAGCCCAGCTGGTGGAGGAGGAAGGTGGAGAAAATTGAGCTAAAAGGGGTGGGGGGAGAGAGGAGCGAGTGGGGGGCAGGGCCTCGGGGACAGAGGTGGGATTTCAGAGGAAGAGGCTGGGCAAGGGATGGGGCCTTGGGGAAGAGTCAGGATTGGGGGGTGGAGGGTCTGGTTTTCAGAAATTAGAAATTTTGGCAAGCCCAGTTCTCTTCCAGTAAGAAGGCACCGACCGGGGTGGATTTTGAAGACTCCTGACGCAGCCTGGACCCCTCTGATGTGCATCCCCTTAATGAAGCTTTTTAATGACCTGTGCAAACTGTGGTGGTTTACCGCCCTACCTAAGAACTTCCAGCCTCCTGCCACGCACCATGTGTGAATGCTGAGAGCCTTGCCCGGCCCTGTGTTCAACCACATCGTGGGGAGTGGACGTGGCACTTGCAATCTGAGGGCCAGGAACCCTCCACTACAACCATGAGCCATGCAGCCATGGCGGGAAGCAGAACCTCCAACAGAGGCCATTGGCCTGAGCTCTGGACAGAGTGGCTACCCTTCTCGAAACGCAGCCCAGGGGGTCAAGCCCATGCCCCCCAGCTGCTCCCTTCAGTCCCCCGCTGCTGGCAGGCCGTCTCCCTCGCTCCGCACAAGGGGCTGGGCATGAATTACTGTTTTAATGACTTTTCACCAATGTGTTAACTCCACGCTGTGTGTCTGTAACTTATTCTAAATAAACCCATGACTCCAGCCTGCTTTGATTGTCTCTCCTGCAAAGATCCCACTCCGCATGCAGGGGACGTTTGTAGGGAGGCGCTGTCAAGGGTCGGGGTCTGAAGACTCTCCCCAGGGCTGTTGTAGAGGCAGGAGATGTATTTAGCGCCTTGCAGGTATCCCGTCCCCCTGTGGAAGAGTGGAGCTGGGGTGGGCGGGGGTGAGAATCTGCCCTCGAGCCCTGCCCCATCTCTGTAGCAGGCTGTGCATTCATGACAATTCATGACATCACCACCTGCTTGCTTTCCTATTTATTGATTTTAAATGCTCTGACATAATACAGGTAACCCCCTTCCCCCATAGCAGGTGGGGGAGAAAAACTCATTCCCGGTTGGGAAGGAGGGTCCAGCTACTGGGCTGAGCAACTGCCAAAGGCGATCGCTTGCTGGTAGCCAGGAGTCGCCAGCCCCTAGTCCAGCACTGGCAGCCCTACTGAGCCACACAGGGCTTCCCGGGCACTGCACAGCAATCCTGGGCTGATCTGCAAAGGCTGGGTGATGCCACATGGCTTCCCCGCCACGGCTGCACCAGCCCAGCCCCACGTGATCGTCTCCTGGGGCGGGCGTCGGCTGCCTTTGCTGCTGTGGGTGCTCCGGCCCCCGTCTCCCTGATGGCTTCTGGGGAGCTGCCTCAGCCTGGCCTGTTTCGCAGCTGGGCAGACCCGAGCCCACGCTGGACCCGAACTGCTGGGGCCGACATGGCCCCTCCAGCAGCATTGCTGCCGAGAGCATGGCTGAGCCCAGGGGCGGCTGCACCCCCTGGCAGGGGAGGATCATGCAACTTTCTCAGCCCCCACTGCTCTTCTCTGCCCCTCACCTCTCCCGGAAACATCTGCCCTGCCCTGGGTGGCCCTCCACAGGCTGGGGCCACAGCCTGCGGCTGCCTTCTCTGCAGACGGTGGAGCAGGAGCTGAAAGGGGAGTGTTAGCTGAGTTGCCAAGAGGAGGCTCTGGCAGCGAGGGTTGTGTGGGGGGAGGGGAGGAAGAGGTGCCAAATGAGGCCCCCCCTGCCCCCCAATAAGTACAGGAAGGGGAGGGGGACTGGGTTTGAGGAGCCAGGGGGTCCGGTCCTGTCCTGTGTTCTGCTGCAGAGTCCTGACTGGCGAAGGGGGTGCGGCTACCTCTGCCCCACAGGAGTCCAGGCTGGCCGAGCCCCGAGGCTGCTGAGCCCAGGGGCAGTGAGAAGGGCAGTGGCTCCAGTTCCCTCAACCCTTGTCTGATGTTCATGGGCAGCAAGGCAGAGAGATGGAGGAGGACCGGGCCAGGCAGGGCAGCGCCAGGCCCCTCTCCAGCACTGGCAGCGGGCGCAGGGCAGCGCCAGGCTGAGCAGAGGCAGCATCGGGCTCTGGCTACTTGAGCGGCCTCACCACGGTGCGATAGGCCTGCACGATCTCCTCGCTCTTGGGGCAGCTGTATTTGAACTCCTTGGCCTCGCCGGCACTGTCCAGGTAGCGCCAGACCCCGCGCAGCTCCTGGGGGATCCCCAGCTGCCGGTAGTGTTTGCACACGATCTGGGGACAGAGGTGGGGTGAATGGAGAGAGTGTCCCAATGGACAAATCCTCCTCCTCTGCACCCCCTCACCTGCCCCACAAGGCCCCGCACCTCCCCTCAGCTAACCTGCTCAGCTCTGGGCTGGCTCTGTGCCCCCCCTCGGCTAACTCCCCTTGCCTGTCCCACGGTTAACCTGCCCAGCTCTGGGCTGCCCCCCTCCCTTGACTAACCTGCCCAGCTCCAGGTTAGTCCTGCACCCCCCTTGGCTAACCCACCCTGCCTGGCCCCACTGCTAACCCACCCAAAGTTGGGCTGGCCCAATGCTCCCTAGACTAACCCACCCTGCCTTCCCCCATAGCTAACCTGCCTGGCCTGGGACAGACCCCCGCGCCCCCATGGCTAATCCACCCAGCTCTGCTCTGACCCCATGCCCCCTTGGCTAACCTACCCTGCCTGTCCCCACAGCTAATCTGCCCAGCTCTGGACTGGCCCTATAGCTAACCCACCTTGCCTGCCCCTACAGCTAACCAGCTCAGCCTGGAACTACCCCTCATCCAACCCACCTGGCCCTGGAAGCCCCCATGACCCCACAGCTAACCCACCCTCCCCATAGCAACTCCTCGCAGGCTTGAATAACACACACTGTGCCAGAGGACAGAGCTGCCTGGCTCCTGGGCTCTGGTCTGCGATCTGCTCCCGTGTCCGAGAAACTCATTTAGGCAAGGTGGGGCCTGGTGCACAGGGCAGGGGGCCGAATGGTGGGTGGTGGGCCATCACAGATTGGGTGGGGTGAAGGGGATGAAGGGGATGTTCTAGATCGCAGGGGGAAGAGTGGGGGAGTGTGGGTAGGCGGTGACTAGGGAGGCCGTAGAGGTAGAGGATGATGGGGGGGAGCTGGTGGTAGATGGGGGGGGGCATAAGGGTGGAGGTTGGTGGGGAGGGCTGTCAGTGGCTGGGGAGCCATATGGGAGGGAGATGGTGGGGTGGCTGGGGGCCCATATGGGTGGGGGCTGGTGGGTGGGCTGGTGATGGGTGGGGGGCTGTATGGGTGGGGGCTGGTAGGCAGGCTGGTGGTGTCCGTACAGCTGGTGGTGGCTGTGGGGTGCCCACAGGGGTAGGGGGTGGTTGGTGGGGTGGTGGGGGGCTGGCAGAATCTATACAGCTGGCAGTGCCTGTGGGGGGCCCACAAGGGTAGGGGGTAGTGGCTGGGGGGGTCGTATGGATTGGAGATGGTGGGGGAGCTGGCGGTGGCTGTGGGGGTCCCACCCGGGGCACCCATACTCACATGGACAATGTTAAGTTTGGGCAGCAGGCTGCAGTCGGCCAGTGTCAGCTGATCGCCGTCCAGGAGCCTCCTCTGGGAGACGGTGAGGCTGGGGTCCTGGGCGAGCTCGTACTCCAGGGGGGTGCTCAGGTACCTGTCCAGCTTCAGGAGGGCCTTCAGCAGGTTCTTCTGTAGCACTGCGGGTGGAGGGCGGAGAGTCGCTGTACAGCGGGCACCTGCCCTGGGCCGGTGCTGGGGTCCTCAAGTGACGCGGCACTGCGGGCACCCCTCACCCCTGTGCGGAGAGGAACCTGGGGGCTCCCGAGGCATTTGCATGCTAGGGGTGGTGGCATTTCCTGCGGGGCGGCGCCGGACTGCCAGCCTCCCTAGTCACCCCCAGAATGGGGCAGCACCAGAGTAACCCCCCACACACACACACACACACCAGGGCAGTAAGGCCCCCGGCTCTCCCCACCCCTAGGTTTCTATCAGGGGCTGGGCAGAGCAGCAGATGGTTGGATGCACCAGGGCGTGAACCCCCTCCGGCCTCTTGGGGGAGCCCCTCCAGGGCAGAATCGACCGGTGTTGGTGGGAGAATGGAGAGCCCCTCCGGAGCCAGCCCTTCACCCCCACAGTCCGTGCCATGACAATGGCCAGCAGCAGAGGGGGGGCTGGACTGGAGAGCCGGGCCGTGGCCTTGCTCAGCTGCAAGGGGGTCAGGGGAGGCTGCTGGGTGAGTGTGGCCCCTCGCCCCGTCCTGTCCCATCTGCTCACAGGATCCCACTGGATTCCAGGATCACAGCAAGGGGTGCAGCAGCGAGTTCGTGCAGTGCCGTGGGGGAGCACTGGGGGGCGGGGAGGAGGGTGAGCAGGCCAAGGGCTTTGGTGGTGGCTGCAGTGTTACCCCCTTGTGGCTGCATGTGGACACACACACACCCTGCCCGTCCCTCGGTGAGCCAAGTCCCTCACCCTCGTCCTGGGCCGGCAGCGAGTTCTTGATGAACACGGAGAACTTGTGGAAGATGTCGTTCCCGGCCGTGGTGGACTCCTTGTACCGGGGAACCAGGCTGGGGAAGCTGCAGGAGGCAAAGGGAGGGAGTGAGAGGGGGCTGTGGTGGGGCTGTGGGCTCAGACCGTGCCCCTCTGCCCTGGGCACCAGAACTCAGTGCGATGCCCTGAGAACCGACCCTCCTCCCCTCCTCTCCATCCTGCTCCATCTCCTCTGTCACTCCATTCCCCTCCCGCATCCATGGTTTCCCCACATCCTCCCCCATTGGTCCCACCTGTGCCCCCTTGACCCTCACACCCTGCCTGGCCCCGAGTCCCCAGCCCACCTTGCCTCCCATCACCGCAGGGGCTCCTCTCCCCGCTCTGGATTGATGCCCCCAGCCCCTCTCCCATGGGGCCAATCTCTTGCTGTGCCCACATGGGACGCCCAGCTCTCGGGGGAGGGGCTGACCCCACTCACTTTGGGGGGCCCAGGGTCTCCTCCAGGAACTCCTCGATCTTGTTGGTGTCGGTTTTGGGCTCCCCATTATACAGCAGCACGGGCAGCTGGGCTCCTGGGGCAAAATCCTTCAGCACATCCGGGGCCCTGCAGGGGGAGGGCAGAGGCTCTCGGTGACCCCAGGGCATTGCCACAGGGCTGGCGCGGGCAGAGGGCAGCAGGTGTTGGTCACCCTCCTCCTGGCTGCAGAGGGCAGTGATACAATGGCTTCAGGCTGCCCCGATGCCAGCTATTGGCCAGCGCTGCCTGTCCCGGCCTCCCAAGGGCTGAGCGCCCGCGACTGCTGCACCCTGCGTGGTGATTGCCCTCCAACCGGCCGACTGCGCGGGGCTCTGCTGTGGGAAGGGGCTGCCTAGGAGGAGCCCTGGCCGTGGGAAGCGGCTGCCCTCAGGGCTCTGACAGACGGATTCTCCCCCCCTTGGCACTGGTAGTAGGGTGGGGGTTGCAGCGTTGTCCCACCAGACAGCAGCCAGGGCCACCTTCCCAGCCCCTCAGTGCTGCCACCAGGCTTTGCTCCGTGAGCACGCTGGGGATGATTGCAGCAGGAGCCTCCTGCCCCCCCCCCCCCCCGGCAATTCTTTGTGCTCTCCAGTCTTGTGGTCTGTGCGGCGCCTCCACCCGGATGCCGGGGCTGTTTGGAACAGTCAGGGAGCGGGCAGCCACAGCGCTGGGTGTGAGTCAGCCAGGCAGACGCACTGCCAGAGGAAAGGGGGAGTTGGGGGCCTGGCAGGGGGCTCGATGGTAAAACCATGCAGGTGGGTGGGGTAGCGTCCTGGGGCCATGCTGACCATAGTCCATGGTTCCCATTGTGTCCTCACCTCTTCATATCCACTGTGGTCAGAGTAAAGGGGATCCCCTTGAGCAGCAGAACCATGAAGAGGCGCTGGCAGAAGGGGCAGTGCCCGATGCTCTCCCCATCATCGCTTGCCTGGGGAGACAAGAACGATGCTTAGTGAGCTGAAAACCAGGAAGCGCTGCCATCCCAGTGACCCTGAACAGCATTGCCACTGCTCACCAGGAGGCGCCATGCTCATGCTTCAGGGCCAACCTCCATGGCTGGCTGAGATCAGGAAGGATTTTCCCTGATGGTACAGTACTGCACAAGTTGGATTTCGTGCTGAGTCTCTCCTTGCCTTATTTTCTCCCATCTGTATAATGGGGGTTATGATTAGAGAGGGGCCTGTGCCCCAAAACCAGGCTGTCTGGATCTGTGATTTTTTTCTTTGGATCCATCTCTTTGTGACACTCCTTGATCCAGATCCAGTGGGTGGGGGTTTGGGGAGAACCGAGAGGTGCATCAACCAGTCACAGCTTGTAAAGTGCTGGGGGATGTAAATGTCTATTCCTCTGGCGTGGCCATTGGGATGGTATCAGTCCCCCCATTATACAGATGGGGAAAATGAGTCACTATGCAGCAGTGACTCCGTCTAGAAGAGACAATGACTCAGTGGCCAGTCCCATAATAGAACCCTCCAGGTATCCCCCCTCCCCAAAGCAAAAATAGTTGACTACCAAGTTTCATCCTTTTCCCAACAGGTAGAAAATTCTCCTATTTCTAAAATAACCTCCCCAAGCCGTGGAGGGAGGCAAGCTGGGCTTGGTTATGAACGGCCCCTTCTGGTACTTTTAGACCCAACAGTTGGTTACATTTGTGTATTAAACATGGGATTTTACTAGGAGCGGCCATGTCTTCACGGCCCATATTTTAAAATATCAATGATAAGGGGCAATTTCTGGCACTGAACTGATGCTTTGCAGCCGAGGATGCCAAATGCCACTGGGTTCAATTCTCTGGCTTTGCACCCTGTGCCTTGATTCACACCTGTGGGGGAGTGTGAACCACTAGCATATGACACAAGTGAGTAGACAAAGGGCAGAGCAGGCATTCCTCAGGCCCAACGAACTGCTCTCTATTAACGCAGGAGAGCCAGCAAGGCCACAGGCCGGCAGCGAGGGGGAAGGCGACTATCTCCCAGCACTGGCTGAGCGGAGGGAAATTGGAGACAGGAACAAACAGCAGGAAGGCTAGAAAATACTTTTGGGCCCAGATCTTTGGCTGGTGTAACATGGTGAGGCTGCAGGAAGCTGGTGTAAATCACCATCGCTCCAGTCTAGTCATTTACATCTGCCCATTTGCACCAGGGAAGGATCTGGCCCTTGATTCTTGAAGTCCGTTGTTCTAATGACGACCCCAAACCATGAGCAACTTTCCACTCCGCTCGCTGGCAATGTGACTACAACCATCATGCCCAAAGATCAAAATACTTCCCGAAACCAGCAGAGAGCACAAAAGGACTGCTCGACAAAACCACCAAGGGAGAGATCCATCGTTAGCTACACCGAGCAATGACCTCCATCCCTCCAGGAGACCCCCACCGCCAGCAGCACAGATAAAAAATAAAGGAGAGTTTAGCTGCATTCAGCAAGGGAAGGAGGCCAGTGGAGATGGTATCCCACTCAAATTTCTTCATCAACTAGGCCCCAAGGGACTCCATTGGCTGGCGAAATGACACCAAAACCTTGGAATCCGGATGAATCCCAAAAGCCTGTCTGGAGGGGATAGTAATTGCCATACTCAAACCAGGCAAGCCAACCGATGACCCGGGAAGCTATAGGCCGATATCACTCCTGTGTATGACCTACAAACTCCCGGAACATATCATCCCCTGGAGAGTCAGTCTTCTCGTCGAGCCAGTGATCCCCAAAGAACAAGAGGGATTGTGGCCTAAACGCAGTTGCTGCGCCCAAGTTTTGGCCCTTGTAACACACATCGAGGCCAGATTCCAGAAGAAAACCAAGACCGGTGCAGCCTTTGCAGACCTGTCATTGGCCTACGACAGGGTCTGGATGAAAGGCCTGATGCTGAAGCTTGCAAGGGTCATCCCTTGTCTCAAAACACTGTGCCTGCTATGGACGATGCTGAACGGTAGGCGGCTACGTGTCCATTTGGGCGACAAAGTCAGCTCGCCCCAGCTCCTCAACAACGGGCTGCCACAAGGCTCAGTACTTGCGCCGATGCCTTCCAATGTCTACACAAGCAACATGCTGCCAACCGAGTCATGTAAATTTTCATATGCAGTTGACCTTGCCCTGGCAATGCAAGCAGCCACCTTCAAGTCATTGAGTCCACCTTGAATGGGACCTAAAAACCAGGAAGGAATATCTCCGGAAATTGAGGCTCAAGCCAACTGCCCACAAACCAGCAGTCACTGCATCCCATTGTGACAACAGGAATGCTAAGTGCACCCTGAAATGCCCTTCTTCAGCACCAATGGCCACATGACCCCACTCCGACTTGTCTTGGAGTGAAGCTGGATTGCACACTGACTTTCCAGGACCACCTGGAGAAGGCAGCTGCTAAGATGAAGACAAGGGTCAACCTGGTCCAGAAACTGGCAGGCACAAGCTGGGGAGCATCAGCATCAGTGCTATGGATCACAGTGTTGGCCCTTGTGTACTCCAAAGCCGAGTACTTTGCACCAGAAGTAGCCACACTCGACTTGTTGATGTCCAACTGACCCAGCAATGTGGTGCACCTCTGGAACCCTCAAGTCGATCCCAGCACCCTGGCTGCCCGTGCTGCCAGATGTCGCTCCCCCACCCATTTGCCACGATGCCGCAACCCTCCGGGAAGTCCAGCAAATCGAGAAAAACGAACGTCTCTCCATCCACCAGGACCTCAGCAATCTCCCTCAGCACCTCTTGAAGTCATGCAGGCCCTTCTGGACTCACGTGCTTAATCTTAGACAATGTGACTTCAGCCCGATGAAGCTTGGAAAGCCAAATGAAGTTCACATGACGTCACAAACAAACACTCTGTGAAAGACCTGACACAGAAGATCCCTGGCTTTGATCTTCCATGAAGGTTACAAGCAACCCTAAACCACATCTGCACAAACCATGGCAAATGCGGCTACTTGCAGCACAAAGGGAAAATTCAAAACTCTGCAGCGTGCGACTGTGGTCATCCAGAAGAGACCCTGGAACATATAATGACTCAGTGCCCGATTCACGGAAATGAAGGAGGCATCAGGGTGATACACTCCTCTACTCCTGACGCAATTATCTGGCTTAACCCTCCGAGTGTGGTTGTTGCTCTCATCAGCCATAGGAAGAAGATGACCAGGCGTATTGTTAATCCCCCAGGGGACAAGGGAGGCTTTGTTTAACCAATGCTATCCCTTTAGATTTGTGGGTGGGTTTTGTGCCCCTGACCTTGAGGGACCAGTTGCACCAGCTGGAACTGGACTCGAACTGGCAGCAGCAAGGCTAATGTCCCTCCACACAGTCCCAAGGCTCTCAAAAGGACAGACCACAAGCAACTGCTGCTTCCATGGACAAAACGGCTGCGTCTTGGCTGGTGGGGCAGAGAAAGGAAAGCGAGGGACCGGCGGCAAAGTGTGTCTGCCCCCAGTGACATATCAAACGAAAGGCCTGAGCAATCCTGATGAATATCACTTCACAGCGCTTCGGGCTCCCCTCAGGGTCTTGGCACAGCTCCCCTTTCGATTTTTACCTGAATTGTGGGCGTTGGTATGCAGCCTCTGATTTATAGCACTGAAACCACCTGCTGGGTGGGGCTGCTGGATTACTAAGGATCTGGGCTAGACTTTGACCTCAGTTACAGTAAATCTAGAGTAGCTCTTACAGTCACTCCAACGAGATGTTTTTCCGCTGGAAAATATCGAATTATTGCAAGCGAAACGTTTCGTGGCGACCGGCCCATTTCGAGGCAAGGTTTGTTTAGCAAGAAGATGCTTTTAAAAGCCCTTTGCCCTGTTTTGGAATGGAACCGTTTGTATCATTTTCAGCTTTTCAGAAATGGCCATGCAAAGCCACTTCAAAACAGAAACGCCAAGTCAAAATCGGAAGGAAACATTTTGATTTTAGCAAAATGAAACTTTTCAATGGACCCCAGAATGAACATTGGGGGGAATTTCACGTCACAGTGAAACAATCTGGCTTCGTTCCGTTTCCAACGGGGACAAAAAAAGCCGAAATCCCGAATTGTCCTGTGAAATGACAAACCCCGTCCCCACGCAGCGCCACGCGAATCTCCGTCGCCTTGTGCCAACATTTACAGGGGTGCCTGGGGTGTGTGAAATGCTCCCACTGTGGGTGTGTTATACCCTTCTGCACTAGTGTAAGGGTATGTCTACACTACGAAATTAGGTCGAATTTATAGAAGTCGGTTTTTTAGAAATCGGTTTTATATATTCGAGTGTGTGTGTCCCCACAGAAAATGCTCTAAGTGCATTAAGTGCATTAACTCGGCGGAGCGCTTCCACAGTACCGAGGCAAGCGTCGACTTCCAGAGCGTTGCACTGTGGGTAGCTATCCCACAGTTCCCGCAGTCTCCGCTGCCCATTGGAATTCTGGGTTGAGATCCCAATGCCTGATGGGGCTAAAACATTGTCGCGGGTGGTTCTGGGTACATATCGTCAGCCCCCCGTTCCCTCCCTCCCCCCGTGAAAGCAAGGGCAGACAATCATTTCGCGCCTTTTTTCCTGAGTTACCTGTGCAGACGCCATACCACGGCAAGCATGGAGCCCGCTCAGGTAACCGTCACCCTATGTCTCCTGGGTGCTGGCAGACGCGGTACGGCATTGCTACACAGTAGCAGCAACCCCTTGCCTTGTGGCAGCAGACGGTGCAATATGATTGGTAGCCGTCATCGTCATGTCCGAGGTGCTCCTGGTCGCCTCTGTGAGGTCGATCAGGAGCGCCTGGGCAGACATGGGCACAGGGACTAAATTTGGAGTGACTTGACCAGGTCATTCTCTTTAGTCCTGCAGTCAGTCCTATTGAACCGTCTTATGGTGAGCGGGCAGGCGATACGGACTGCTAGCAGTCGTACTGTACCATCTTCTGCCGAGCAGCCATGAGATGTGGATGGCAAGCAGTCCTTCTGCACCGTCTGCTGCCAGCCAAAGATGTAAAAGATAGATGGAGTGGATCAAAACAAGAAATAGACCAGATTTGTTTTGTACTCATTTGCTTCCCCCCCTCCCCTGTCTAGGGGACTCATTCTTCTAGATCACACTGCAGTCACTTACAGAGAAGGTGCAGCGAGGTAAATCTAGCCATGTATCAATCAGAGGCCAGGCTAACCTTCTTGTTCCAATAAGGACAATAACTTAGGTGCACCATTTCTTATTGGAACCCTCCGTGAAGTCCTGCCTGAAATACTCCTTGATGTAAAGCCACCCCCTTTGTTGATTTTAGCTCCCTGAAGCCAACCCTGTAAGCGCCCCTCCCAGCGTCAGAGCAATGGCAAACAATCGGGCATCTGAGAGTGCTGTCCAGAGCAGTCACAATGGAGCACTCTGATGGGGCTAAAACATTGTCGCGGGTGGTTCTGGGTACGTATCGTCAGGCCCCCGTTCCCTCCCTCTCTCCGTGAAAGCAAGGGCAGACAATCATTTCGCGCCTTTTTTCCTGAGTTACCTGTGCAGACGCCATACCACAGCAAGCATGGAGCCCGCTCAGGTAACCGTCACCCTATGTCTCCTGGGTGCTGGCAGACGCGGTACGGCTTTGCTGCACAGTAGCAGCAACCCCTTGCCTTCTGGCAGCAGACGGTGCAATACGATTGGTAGTTGTCCTCGTCGTGTCCGAGGTGCTCCTGGCCACGTCGGCTGGGAGCGCCTGGGCAGACATGGGCGCAGGGACTAAATTTGGAATGACTTGACCAGGTCATTCTCTTTAGTCCTGCAGTCAGTCCTATTGAACCGTCTTATGGTGAGCGGGCAGGCGATACGGACTGCTAGCAGTCGTACTGTACCATCTTCTGCCAGGCAGGCAAGAGATGAGGATTGCTAGCAGTCGTATTGCACCATCTTCTGCCAGGCAGGCAAGAGATGGGGATGGCTAGCAGTCGTACTGTACCATCTTCTGCCGAGCAGCCATGAGATGTGGATGGCATGCAGTCCTTCTGCACCGTCTGCTGCCAGCCAAAGATGTAAAAGATAGATGGAGTGGGTCAAAACAAGAAATAGACCAGATTTGTTTTGTACTCATTTGCCTCCTCCCCTGTCTAGGGGACTCTTTCCTCTAGGTCACACTGCAGTCACTCACAGAGAAGGTGCAGCGAGGTAAATCTAGCCATGTATCAATCAGAGGCCAGGCTAACCTCCTTGTTCCAATAACAACGATAACTTAGGTGCACCATTTCTTATTGGAACCCTCCGTGAAGTCCTGCCTGAAATACTCCTTGATGTACAGGCACCCCCTTTGTTGATTTTAGCTCCCTGAAGCCAACCCTGTAAGCCGTGTCGTCAGTCGCCCCTCCCTCCGTCAGAGCAACGGCAGACAATCGTTCCGCGCCTTTTTTCTGTGCGGACGCCATACCAAGGCAAGCATGGAGGCCGCTCAGCTCACTTTGGCAATTAGGAGCACATTAACCACCACACGCATTATCCAGCAGTATATGCAGCACCAGAACATGGCAACGCGATACCGGGCGAGGAGGCGACGTCAGCGCGGTCCCGTGAGTGATCAGGACATGGACACAGATTTCTCTGAAAGCATGGGCCCTGACAATGCATGCATCATGGTGCTAATGGGGCAGGTTCATGCTGTGGAACGCCGATTCTGGGCTCGGGAAACAAGCACAGACTGGTGGGACCGCATAGTGTTGCAGGTCTGGGACGATTCCCAGTGGCTACGAAACTTTCGCATGCGTAAGGGCACTTTCATGGAACTTTGTGACTTGCTTTCCCCTGCCCTGAAGTGCATGAATACCAAGATGAGAGCAGCCCTCACAGTTGAGAAGCGAGTGGCGATAGCCCTGTGGAAGCTTGCAACGCCAGACAGCTACCGGTCAGTTGGGAATCAATTTGGAGTGGGCAAATCTACTGTGGGGGCTGCTGTGATGCAAGTAGCCCACGCAATCAAAGATCTGCTGATATCAAGGGTAGTGACCCTGGGAAATGTGCAGGTCATAGTGGATGGCTTTGCTGCAATGGGATTCCCTAACTGTGGTGGGGCTATAGATGGAACCCATATCCCTATCTTGGCACCGGAGCACCAAGCCGCCGAGTACATAAACCGCAAGGGGTACTTTTCGATAGTGCTGCAAGCTCTGGTGGATCACAAGGGACGTTTCACCAACATCAACGTGGGATGGCCGGGAAAGGTGCATGATGCTCGCATCTTCAGGAACTCTGGTTTGTTTCAAAAGCTGCAGGAAGGGACTTTATTCCCAGACCAGAAAATAACTGTTGGGGATGTTGAAATGCCTACAGTTATCCTTGGGGACCCAGCCTACCCCTTAATGCCATGGCTCATGAAGCCGTACACAGGCAGCCTGGACAGTAGTCAGGAGCTGTTCAACTACAGGCTGAGCAAGTGCAGAATGGTGGTAGAATGTGCATTTGGACGTTTAAAGGCGCGCTGGCGCAGTTTACTGACTCGGTTAGACCTCAGCGAAACCAATATTCCCACTGTTATTACTGCTTGCTGTGTGCTCCACAATATCTGTGAGAGTAAGGGGGAGACGTTTATGGCGGGGTGGGAGGTTGAGGCAAATCGCCTAGCTGCTGGTTACGCGCAGCCAGACACCAGGGCTGTTAGAAGAGCACAGGAGGGCGCGGTACGCATCAGAGAAGCTTTGAAAACCAGTTTCATGACTGGCCAGGCTACGGTGTGAAAGTTCTGTTTGTTTCTCCTTGATGAAACCCCCCGCCCCTTGGTTCACTCTACTTCCCTGTAAGCTAACCACCCTCCCCTCCTCCCTTTAATCATTGCTTGCAGAGGCAATAAAGTCATTTCTGCTTCACAGTCATGCATTCGTTATTCATTCATCACACAAATAGGGGGATGACTACCAAGGTATCCCAGGAGGGCTGGTGGAGGAGGGAAGGAAAATGCCACACAGCACTTTAAGCACAGCACTTTAAAAGTTTACAACTTTAAAATTTATTGAATGACAGCCTTCTTTTTTTTGGGCAATCCTCTGTGGTGGAGTGGCTGGTTGGCCGGAGGCCCCCCCACCGCGTTCTTGGGCGTCTGGGTGTGGAGACTATGGAACTTGGGGAGGAGGGCGGTTGGTTACAGAGGGGCAGCAGTGGCAGTCTGTGCTCCAGCTGCCTTTGCTGCAGCTCAACCATACACTGGAGCATACTGGTTTGGTCCTGCAGCAGCCTCAGCATTGAATCCTGCCTCCTCTCATCACGCTGCCGCCACATTAGAGCTTCAGCCCTGTCTTCAGCCCACCACTTACTCTCTTCAGCCCGCCACTTACTCTCTTCAGCCCGCCACCTCTCCTCCCGGTCATTTTGTGCTTTCCTGCACTCTGACATTATTTGCCTCCACGCATTCGTCTGTGCTCTGTCAGTGTGGGAGGACAGCATGAGCTCGGAGAACATTTCATCGCGAGTGCGTTTTTTTTTCTTTCTAAGCTTCACTAGCCTCTGGGAAGGAGAAGATCCTGTGATCATTGAAACACATGCAGCTGGTGAAGAAAAAAAAAGGGACAGCGGTATTTAAAAAGACACATTTTATAAAACAGTCGCTACACTCTTTCAGGGTAAACCTTGCTGTTAACATTACATACATAGCACATGTGCTTTCGTTACAAGGTCGCATTTTGCCTCCTCCCACCGCGTGACTACCCCCTCAACCTTCTCCCCTCCCTGTGGCTAACAGCGGGGAACATTTCTGTTTAGCCACAGGCAAACAGCCCAGCAGGAATGGGCTCCTCTGAGTGTCCCCTGAAGAAAAGCACTCTATTTCAACCAGGTGACCATGAATTATATCTCACTCTCCTGAGGATAACACAGAGAGATAAAGAACGGATTTTGGTTGAATGCCAGCAAACATACACTGCAATGCTTTGTTCTACAGTGATTCCCGAGTACGTGTTACTGGCCTGGAGTGGTAAAGTGTCCTACCATGAAGGACGAAATAAGGCTGCCCTCCCCAGAAACCTTTTGCAAAGGCTTTAGGACTACATCTAGGAGAACCGCAAATGCCAGGGCAAAGTAATCCTTTCACATGCTTGCTTTTAAACCATGTATAGCATTTTAAAAGGTACACTCACCAGAGGTCCCTTCTCCGCCTGCTGGGTCCAGGAGGCAGCCTTGGGTGGGTTCGGGGCGTACTGGCTCCAGGTCTAGGGTGAGAAACAGTTCCTGGCTGTCGGGAAAACCGGTTTCTCCACTTGCTTGCTGTGAGCTATCTACAACCTCCTCATCATCATCATCTTCTTCGTCCCCAAAACCTACTTCCGTATTGCCTCCATCTCCATTGAAGGAGTCAAACAACACGGCTGGGGTAGTGGTGGCTGAACCCCCTAAAATGGCATGCAGCTCATCATAGAAGCGGCATGTTTGGGGCTCTGACCCAGAGCGGCTGTTCGCCTCTCTGGTTTTCTGGTAGGCTTGCCTCAGCTCCTTCAGTTTCACGCGGCACTGCTTCGGGTCCCTGTTATGGCCTCTGTCCTTCATGCCCTGGGAGATTTTCAGAAAGGTTTTGGCATTTCAAAAACTGGAACGGAGTTCTGATAGCACGGATTCCTCTCCCCAAACAGCGATCAGATCCCGTACCTCCCGTTCGGTCCATGCTGGAGCTCTTTTGCGATTCTGGGACTCCATCATGGTCACCTGTGCTGATGAGCTCTGCATGGTCACCTGCAGCTTGCCACGCTGGCCAAACAGGAAATGAGATTCAAAAGTTTGCGGTTCTTTTCCTGTCTACCTGGCCAGTGCATCTGAGTTGAGAGCGCTGTCCAGAGCGGTCAGAATGGAGCACTCTGGGATAGCTCCCGGAGGCCAATACCATCGAATTGTGTCCAGAGTACCCCAAATTCGAGCTGGCAACGTCGATTTAAGCGCTAATCCACTTGTCAGGGGTGGAGTAAGGAAATCGATTTTAAGAGCCCTTTAAGTCGAAATAAAGGGCTTCATTGTGTGGACGGGTGCAGGTTTAAATCGATTTAATGCTGCTAAATTCGACCTAAAGTCCTAGTGTAGACCAGGGCTTAGTGATGACAGGTGGGGAATGGGGCCCGGGGATGTACCTCGGTGTAACAGATCAGAACCGGTCCCCTTGCCATAAAGCACAAGGCCCAGCTCGCTGTGTCATACACCCAGGCTCCTTGCCCTCTTCTATTGCTGGGGTGGGCAGGGCACTATGGGTCACCGGAATGAAGGGCGCAGCTGCTTGCAGCGAAGCGGATTTCTTAGAAGCTACTTCCCATGCACTGTCCCCTCAACAACGGGCTGAGCTGAGCCTTGCCCCAGTGGAATCAGCCTTGTGGAATCCAACCTCCAGCTAAGGTCAGACACAAGAAGAAAGACCGGTGCAGCCAAGGTCCCTGACTACAAGCCCCATCTTACGCCCACCCCCATGGCCCTGCCTGCTCTCACTAGTCTGTCCCCTCCCACCGCCCCTTCACAGGGCATAGGGCCATGCAGAAAGGGCCAGGGTTTGGCTCAGGCCCAGCTCTGTGACACTGCTGTTCCTCTGCCCCCCCGGCCATGTCAGCCTTTCCTGAGAGCCCCCTTGTGACAGCTGCCCATGTTCGCCCAGACGGGGGCTGTCAGACTAGTGGCAAAGTCCTGTTCTGTGGGAGGCCCGAGTGCTCGCTTCACTCTGGGGCACAGAACTGTGCCCGGGTGCCCTCTGCAGGCCGGGGCCCGGGAGTCACGGCCCTGCCTGGATCCTGCCCCACCTCTGTGGAATTCCCCGCTGTGGCGGTGCACAGAACTGGGCCAAAGGGGAATGAATCAGACCCTGGTTGAATTGTCTCCTCTCCCCAAGCGGGGCAGAGCTGCCCCTGAGCCTGCAGCCGTGCTCCCAGGAGACCTGGGCTGGCTCAAGGAGGAGCACTGCCTAAGCTGCCGGCCCCACGGCCCTGCGCAGTGCTGTTCCTTGGGGCAGCTTGGCCTTTCCCTGCCAGCCACTTACGGAAGCAGCAGTGAAAGGAGGTGGCCTGCTGCTCCCATGGCAGAGCAGGTGAGGTCTAGGGACTCGGAAGTTGGGCATGCATTTCCCCAGAGCACTGCGAATAAGAGCCTAGCCTCTGCCAGCCTGGTCCATCTCCCGGTCCCAGGGCCGTACTCTGGTGACCAAGGGCCTCATGCTCTGTCCTTGTCTGGGAAGGCAGGGCTGGTTCTGTGAGTGTGCGGTGCAGGATCTCGGGGAAAGGCACTACAGTGACTCCAGCTTGCTCCCCACCACGAGTGGCTTGCAGAGTTGGGGGGGCTGAGCCCCTAACACCCCAGTCTGGTGTGCTGGAGCTTCCAATAACCCTTCTCTGGAGCAGAGACCCTGTGGATCCTTCCAGCCACCAAGACAAGCTAGCTGCCACGGCCGGGAAAGGCCCCAGGCCAGCAGATGCCGGCATTTCCTGGCACAGCCGTGGGTGATGCAGGCAGGTCAATAATCCCCAAGGCACAGACAGTTTCATGACAAAGTTTATTCTAAGCGGACGTGCCCTTCTCTCTAGTCACAGGGTGGATGCTGTGGGCTGGTTACATCTGGTCTGGTCCATCTGGTGAGTCGGACATTGGTCCGTACAGTTACACCCAAGTTAGCAGCAGTGAAAAACAAGCTCCATTGCACAGAATACATGTTCTTGCAGACACAGACTCTAGAGAGGGCAAAACTGATAGGGTCTCTGAGTACAAAGGCTAGACCCAGCTATATGATCCAGTGGCTGTTAGAGCCAGCAGTTTCCACTGTGTTGAATGGGGTTGAAATCAGGCCTGTGATCTACTCGAGAATGCGTCAGCTCTTGAATTGAGGGTCATAGTTTCCAAGGCCAGAAGGGATCACTGGGATTGTTTAGTCTGACCTCCCAGGTATAACACAGGCTAGAGACCTGCCCCAAAATAAGTCTTGGAGCAAATCTTTTAGAAAAACACCCAGTCTTGATTTTAAAATTGCCAGTGATGGAGAATTCACCATGACTCTTGGGAAAATTGTCCCAACGGTTAATTACTCTCACTATTAAAATTGTATGCCTTATTTCTAGTCCGAATCTTGCTGGCTTCAATGTCCAGCCATTGGCTTGGGTTAGACCTTTCTCTGTTAGATTGAAAAGCCCAGTATTAAATATTTGTTCCCTGTGTAGGTACTTATAGACGGTGATCAAGTCACTTCTTCACCTTCTCTTTTGTTAACTAAATAGATTGAGCTCCTTCTATCTTTCACTATCAGGCAGGTTTTCTGATCCTTTAATTATTGTTGTGGCTCTTCTCTGACCCCTCTTCATCAAGCTCCTTCCTGAATTGTGGACACCAGAACTGGACACAGGATTCCAGCAGTGGTCGCACCAGTGCCAAGCAGAGGTAAAATAACCTCTCTACTACTGCTCGAGATTCACCTGTTTATGCATCTTTTTGAGAGACTCCACTGAGCTTAGCCAAAGGATCCCATAGCATATTTCATGGACCATTACACGAGATGTTTGCACTTGCATGTGATCCATGCTCATGGTCTATGCTGCATGAGTTGCCGGTGAGTTATGGCTCATATGAGGCATTAATACTGTACATGTCTGTAAGTGGCAAGGAGAAATATCCGCGTGAGCAAGGGCTTTTTGGAGCTGGCTGCTCCCCTAGTGGAGGGGCCTGTGTGAGGTTAAAACGTAGAAATGAATAAATTCTGTACATTGATTTTATCCTTTTATATTGACACCTCTCTAGCAAGTCTGTAAATCAATCAAACATTTGTCTGGAGAGTATTAATACCTCAAGTCAAATCTGAAACCTAATTGCCAACCTAAGAATGGCACATGGCCCAGATGTCAACTCCTACCAGTCTAGGAGGAGTCCAAGTGCAAACATCAGTCAAGCCCAAATTATAGATCTACATAATGGACATAAAGACGCACATTCATGTCCTATCTCACCCGTCTGGAGCGCCTGCCATGGAAGGCTCTCAAAGTGCTTTACCCATCTGTGGGGCTGGCCACAAACCACATAATACATTAAGGGGTGGGCGTGTTTGTTACAAAATGTTACCAGGAGTGGGTGGGTCTTAAAAAATCACCAAAAAAATATTACCTAATTTATGGATAGCCCCTTATTAAATCAAAACTCATGACTACCCTGTGGGAGGTAGGTGTTTATTACTAGTCCCTATTTTATGGATGGGGAAACTGAGGCACACAGCTGCTGTGACTTGCCCAAGGTGACACAGCGCTCAGTAGCAGAACCAGTAGACCCAGATCCTGACTTCCAGTCTTGTTTGAGGATCACTAGATGATTCTACTGCCCCATCCAAACACCAACCCCTCTCCACTGCAATCCACACAGGCACACAGCAGCTCTTCACGCTCAAAGACACAAATACTGACGAACAAACATGTATTGCCCAAATTCCAGCAGAGCTAAGTGGAGTCTGCCAGCCACAAATCCCCACGGCAGTTACCACTGGGTGCAGAATTCTTCTTCACGTCCTGCCCTAAACTGCGGCGCAGCATTGCCACAAACTGTTCCACCCCAGAGGCGGCTGCATAGATGAAGTCTGTGAAACACGTCTGGAGCCTCCTGGATGCAAGGCGCTGTAGAGGACATCTGCTTGCTTGAGGGTTTGCCAGAGGTAAGGGGCTGGGCAGGTGCACTCTGCTCTCCACGCCCGTCCAGGTAACCGGTTGGGGATGTTGTGCTCATTATCTTGGCAGGGTGTCAGCCAGAAACCAGGGGTTTGTCTTTTGCTGCAGCCAGCTTGGCAGCAGGAAATCAGTCGGTTGCTTTGCTCCTGAAAATGCCCCTGAGGCTTGGGCCGTGGTGCAGGGCATTCTGCCCCAGGCAGGCCACAGCAACACGCACCCAGCCGCTCCAGAGACTGGGGCTGGGCTCCTGGCAGGATGAGCCGTGGCTGTCATTGACTGACGCCCGGCAAGGGGCCAGTGATCTGCTCCTCAGCCTTTCGTCAGCCCCTTCCCATCAACCGGCAGTAGGGCAGGGGCTGCAGGATTTCCAGGGTGTGCTGGAGACATGGGTGGGGACAGCGGGGGAGGGAAATGGGGGGGCGGAGGTTCTTCAGGATCCCTGTTCCCCTCCCCAGGGGTGCTGTGGCCACTCCAAGCACTGGCAGGACACGGGAGGGATGGCGCGTCAACCTGCTCCGTCCCCACCACGCTGCGTGTGCTGCCTCGGCCCTGCTTCCACCCTGGCTGGCCTGGGGCCTCAGCCCCACCCCCAAGCAGGCCTGGGTATAGGGATGGGCATGTGTGCTCTCTCGACATAGGGCTACTGGAACTCGACATAGGGCTACTCGACACACGGCTCCTTGGCAGCAGCCATCGGGCATAGGCAGCCCCTCAGTGGGACTCTGCGGCTGGGGCAAAGAGGTTGATCACTAGAACGCCCGCTGCCCATGCTGACTAGGGCCATCAACCTGACCCGTGGGCAGCCAGCAGCAGTTCCAGGGCAGGGAGCCCTGAGTCAGCCTGGGTCAGAGCTCTGTACAGCTCCATCGCTGCAGGGATCGGTTTCTGAACAGGGCTCCAGCTCCTTCCCAGACTGGCGCCACATGGAGCCCTTCACTTACGGCCTTGTAGCCGGGGGGTGCCAGGAGCTCTGCACTCTCCAGTCCCCACAGGGTCAGATGGGAGCAGTGGCTGTGCCAGGAGCATCTCTGCCCCCTGACCTGTATGCCAGGTATGGGGCTGAAGGGCCTGGCACAGAAAAGTGTTTCCCATGGTGAACGTGCCCCTGCATGAGCCCACAGGAGG